ATTTAACGGAATTTAGCAGCAAAACCAAAATTGGTTTTCAAACTACGATAACTAGATTAATCTTGGTCAGAGATTGTAATTAGAAATCAAATGTGCTTATTCCACAAAATTCAAATGAAACTTTAGACTTTAGAATTAATAACACGAGTTTACAAAATTTAACCGACTTCCTAATATAATTTACCAGACTACGTCTGATTTTAAATCCAACTTTAAAATTGATTCATCATGTGAATTTTTGAATAATTAATGTTTAAAAAATATTATATTTTTTTTATATTTAAAAATTCGTTTTAAAAAATATTTGCTGCCAAAAAAACTTTAAATCTGTAGGTACATTTAAAAATCCCAATAAATTTAAAACAATATATTTCTTATGACGAATAGTTTTTGAGTTATTTAACATTATTGCTTAGAAAAACCAGAAACACTTTACCAAATTAAAATAATTCATAATTTAAATACCTATTCAAAACTTTGTTATAAATTAACAAAATTTTTTCTACATTATTAATTTTAATAATTTTTTTTAAACATTCCTATTTATATTATTATTTATTATTAAACATTATAATTTATAAATCAAAAACTATTCGTAAAAAATTGATGTGTAACTAAGTCCAGAATCCAAAGTTGCCAGATTATCAAAGCGCTTTCCCCCCCTAATTAGTGAAAATTTTAGTTTTTGTTAACAGTATAAAATTTAAAGAACAATGTTCTCCAGCATTTTTTTTTTCATTTGGGATGATAAAACCATACCACTTAATATGTTAGATATGATCTTTGTGCTTACCACAGCAGTATAATAACCAAAATAATAATTTAAGCATTTCTCATAGCATTCTGACAAAAATTTAAAAAAATTAATTTGCGATAGTTTATTTTGACATATTTCCTTAATTATCTCTAGAAATTTCACCTGATATTAAAAATGTCCGAAATTTTCCGAGGAATCCTCAATTAGCATTTATAATTCAGTTCCCGTAATGAAATCTAATTTACCTGTAGGTATTATTTTAAAGCATGATTAATTTAATTTTTTTTCTTCATACAATCAGTTTTTCATAACAACTTGAAAAATGACGAATCTCCTAAAAATACCAATTAAAGCAATTGCTTTCTATAATGCTCCATTATAGGGGTTTCAGGCAGTATTGTCAGATCAGGTTTTTTTTTCCTAAATTTAGGGTCTTTTAATGTTTGGGTGAAGTTTTAGGTTGACGAAATTCTTGGGGGATACGAAAGTAGGTGGAAGAAAGTCGCCTAATTTAGGATAGGGGTGTATCTAAAAAACTAATCAAAGCTTTTAACGGAAATTGACTCTAATGTAATCTCGGTGGTGTAGTAGTTAGCACTGCGGACTACAAGTCGTGGGTTCGAATCCCACCAGGGGCATGGCTGTTTATTTGTGTTTGTCATTGTGTACAATCAGAATTATTTAGGTAATAGTATCACTCTCCATTAGATAGCAGTGGTAAACAACCCAGGTGTATGTATCTTGTAAACTACCGAACACAATTTAAGCTATTTTTTTATATAAATATTCGTTGTAATTTTTTTACCTGGACCAGGTAAATGTTTGTTTTTCAAAACTACAAATTTTTTTATTGATTTAAAAAAAAACTTAACCCAAAATGTATAAAGTTGCAATATTTCGGATGGTTCCCGTTTCTCAATTTCCCCTATTAAAAATTAGGAATTTAAAATTATAAACCAGAGATAAATTATCTCTGTATAAACTAAACAAATTAAATAGTGCCCTATCAAATATATTGTTTATTTTATAAAAAAAATACATATATATGTGACTTATTCATGAACTAATAAATATTTTGTTACTGAAAAACTTAATTTTGGGTAGGTGATCCTAAATTGGGAGACAATTTTATATTGCGCAAAAGTTGCACTAACTGCAACAACCTCCTTTTTTGTAAAATTTGCCTATAATAAAAATGTTTTGATATTAAACTTTGTTTCTTTTCAATGTATTTTATACTAGCCAATAGATTCAAATTCAAAAATTATATTGTCAAATTTTTGTTTGAAATGATACCTATCCGTAATTAGCAGAGTTGCCTCTACCTACACTCAGAAAAATGTACAATGTACATGCACTGATAATGAAACTAATTTTGCAAGCGATTAATAAAATATTATTATTTAACTTAAATATAAAATTGTAATGGCTATAAAAAAATGTACCACCTAAGGTACCTTTTTTATTAAATTCTCAGTGTCTTATTGGGACAAAAACCTACGATTTGTCAAAGTGTGTCAAATGAGATTATTGTTATTTACAGAATAAACTTTTTTTACTCTTAATAAAATTCTCATTTACTATAATGAAGCAGCAATGTTGAGCTTTTATAAAAAAAAATGTTCATCCAACAAAGTAATAGTTGTTATAGGTACATACTATTGTTTTGCAATGGTACCTATACAAATTTTGTTATTTCCCTTAAAAAGAGGGGGAAAGGGCCAGCGCTCTCCTTGGTGAACATAACTTTATAATCCACAGTCTGTGTTATAATCTTATTGATTTCACTTGTGAGAGTGAAGTGTGGTAAAATCTAGCATGATAAAAATATCAAAAAGATTAGTCAGAAAATTAAAATTTCGACGTTTTCTAAAAGAAATATTTAAGGTATATTCTTAAAACGAAGCAGACTTGTTGTTTAAAAAGTGTATTGTTTTATTTTGTACATCATAATATATTATAATATGAGTTAATATTTTTGTTATGATAAATATTTTGTTTTAATGCCTTGCAATTATTAAAAAAAAACCTACCCAACAGTAGGTTGAAAATGTGACCATTGTTACAATGAAAATAGTTTATTGAATAATTGAATAATTCAATTTGAATTAACAATTAATTTGTTGTTAAATTTACATAAATTTATTAATATTATAAATTTTTTTTTATTTTAAACGAAAAGGGATTTGTAAAATTTACAAAATGTCTATGAATAATACCATAAGGGTTTCGTTAATACTATAGTATACAAAACGTTTTTGTAAACGGTACAGAACTGTTTTTTGGACAAATAATAATAACTATATTTATCAATGCGTTTCTGCATCTGGAAGAACGTTATTTTTATAAATATAACGTAAGATTACTTTATAATTAATGCAAATGCTATTACTGAAAGTAGCGTTTGTAGATAAACAGTTTTTATAAAAATTATCTTTTTGTCGTAACAAAAGAAATTGTTTAACAAATAGGGATCTTTACTTTATTAAAACAAACTACTTTTTTTGTTATATTTATTTAAAAAAATTCTGTACCCAAATCCAGGGGGATCTGGCAACATTGTCTGAAAACCTTATAATAGAGCAGAATTGAAAGCAATTTCCTGTTTATCATTCTTAAAAAACTGCAGTATTTTCTTAATAGCAGCAACAACAAAACAGTTTAAGTGCGGGTCAAAAAACTTGTAAAATCGGATATCCAATCCACTTAATCCTTTTCCACTCTATCATGTAAAAAAAGGACAAAACAAAATCAATTTAATATTTCTTGCATCGGGTGTATTGTACACAAGAAACTCCATTACGTATCATCTCATACGACGCTTTCAGACACATCCACTTTACTGTAATATACTTATATGGAACACTTCATCTAAAATAAGCATTTTCTATAACAAACGTATTCTACGCTAGGAATTTTTTGGGAATTTCGGTTATAACCTTTATTGCCTTGTTTCTTCACATTCTTATCCGGGGCTGTTTCTATGGTCGATAAAGAATTATGGCGGGAATGCCCACGAGCCGAACAATTTTTAATACAGAGATTCGATAACGTTTTAACTTAAAAAGTAAATTTCCGGAAGAAACATAATGTTTTAATATTAGGTTTTTACATTTTTAGGAATCCAAAAAAAATATTAAGGTTGACATTCTTAAAACAGTCCACCAAGAATTAATTTATTTTTAGTATAAGCTTGATAAATGCATCTGGATTTGCTTCAAACTTCAATTAATCATGAAATAACAAAACCTATACACTGTTATAAAAATCAGATTTGTTAACATAAGTTTGTAGTTTGTTAATTTTATTTTGTAAAATTTTAAGATAATTTTATGTTTTTAATTTTAACAAAGGAAAATATTTTACCGAAAGGTTATATGCAATTTTGTATGCATTTTGTTAATTTCAAAGGTTACAGATTATTTTGTTAATGTTTTTTACAAATTATTTCGTTGAAAAGGTATACGTGATTTAAAGATAAAATTTGCCTTTTGATATGTTAAACATATAAAGGAGGAAAATAATAAAATAACCTAATAAGGTGATTAGATAATGTCGTTAAATGGGTATTTATTACTTTTTAATTTTGTCCATCACCTCCAGTTCTATTATTTTCTATTTAAGTTTATGTATAAAATATACATAGATATATAATATTTAAATATTTTGCAGGATTTTAGAGCTCTTAAAATTTCCAATTTTTTTATTTGGGGTGTGGACTATAAGAAATAAAAATACGTTTTTTATTATTTTTATTTTTATTTGCATTAATAGTTCTGATATACATACATTTATAATATGCTCGCCGAGAGTCATTAAAGCTCACGATAAATGGCAAATCTAGCTAGAGACGTGGATGCCAGCTCTTACAATCGTCATTTGCATTGAGTTTTTCCGTAGGATAAAGAACGTATTAAAATGAATGTAAATCAAGTATAAAATATTTATTAATATCGTCTTATTTATTAAATAATATTGATTTATGGTACTAGTGTGTTATGTTGAAAATAAGTCACGCAAGAAAGATTTATACCACGAGGCCGTCAGGCCGAGTGATATAAATTCTCAAGTGACTTAGGAAAAGGTATACGTGATTTAAAGATGAAATTTGCCTTTTTATATGTTAAAAATATAAAGGAGGAAAATAATAAAATCACCTAATTAGGTGATTGGAAAATGTCGTTAAATGGGTATTTATTACTTTTTAATTTTGTCCATCACCTCCAGTTCTACTATTTTGTTTTTTAGGCGATATAAAAACTAGTCTAGTTTGTTATTTTAAACTACCCTAAATGTGTGTTAAAAATAAAAAAAAATGATTTTTAATCTTTATTTTCTACATGTCTGAAGTATTTCTACATGTCTGAAGTATATCTTTATTATATATATGCCAATAATATTCATGGCATTATAAACTACAAAAAAAAATATATTCTTAATTGTATTTTGGTAATTAAAAATACTTACAGTCGGCTGGTTCACAAAGCATTTTGTAAAATATTCCCAAGCTTCTTCGCAAAAATTATCACTGTCAACTAAAATTTAAAATTGTTTACCTAATTTTTTAACCATTTGTATTTAGGTACTTACAGTCTTTAACTTTACAATTTTTTAAAACAGGGCCGAATTTTTCCTTTATTTCCTTTGGATTTTTTTTTTCATAAGCAGAAACAGTATATTTTCCTGTATCTTTATCAATCTAAAATAATTTTTGTAAATATTTCAATATTTTTACATTATAAAAACTCACAATTTGAAAGTGGGTAAATAAACAAAACAAATAGCATTTTAACTCTGGATTGTTAACAAAAATTCGACCATATTTTGCCTGATTTACCAAACCTTAAAAAAAGAATTATTAATAATTAATAGTTAAAACAAATAATAATTAGGTATGTACCAACCTTCTTTTACATGGGATTCTTTAACACAATAGTCGTGGCTTTCTTTAAATATTTCTTTCAAATTACTTTCGTTATTTTCTGCAGAACTTGCCTAAAATAATTTTTTAAGTATCGAATGTTAATAATATAATGCAATAATGTACCTTGAAAAACAGGAAAAAACTGCAAAATACAACCAATACCAATTCTCTCTTCATTTTTTTTTTACTAAAATGATGTAGTTTTTCATATTTAAAAGTTTTTATAGTACATAGACTACCGATAAATCCGATACGCAAAAAATATTTGCATATGTAATTAGGGCATAAATTTTTGATAAAATTGATTTCACTTACCTATCTCTTAAAATAACAACGATATCTTTTATTTTTAAATTTAAATAAAAAAGTTTATATTACATAAAATCCTAGACTTATTTACAATTATAAATATGTTTATGTATAAAATATACATAGATATATAATATTTAAATATTTTGCAGGATTTTAGAGCTCTTAAAATTTACAATTTTTTTATTTGGACTATAAGAAATAAAAATACGTTTTTTATTATTTTTATTTTTATTTGCATTAATAGTATAGCATTAATGATATACATACATACATTTATAATATGCTCGCCGATAGTCATTAAAACTCATGATAAATGGCAAATCTAGCTAGAGACATGGGTGCCAGTTCTTACAATCGTCATTTGCATTGAATTTGCCTTAGGATAAATAACGGATTAAAATGAAAGTAAATCAGGTATAAAATATTAATTAATATTATCCTCTTATTTATTAAATAATAGTGATTTATGGTACTAGTGTGTTATGTTGAAAATAAGTCACACGAGAAAGATTATATAAACTCTCAAGTGACTTAGGAAAAGTAACACACGAGTGGCATTCAATATTTTAGTGGAAGAAATCGTTTTTTATGGCAAAATAATTATTAAGTTTTGTGATCAAATCAAAGCTACTTTCGTCTCAGTACCCTATAAATGTCAGAATGACTTGACAGTGACTTTTTTACATTTTGGTCAAAGGAGGTTGTTTGTTTGGTTGCCACGGGCATGATACATTGTTAGCAAATGTTTAAATAAATTTTGACACTTGTCAGTTTTCCCTGCAAAAAAAGGAAGCTTTTTTGAAGAAAAACGTAAAGAAACAGGAGGAAACCGATGAAAATTACGTTCCTGAGGATATCCTTACGGAAGCGGAAGAAGCAGCGATGCAGATTTCGCCAGAAAAGTTCCGAGATGCTTACGACAAGGAGTTCAAAATGTTTGAGTCTTGGATGAATTCACGGAAGATAAAACGTATTGATGAAAATGTTCTATTGGCTTATTTTTTACATTTTCAAAAAAAATTAGCCCCATCGTCGCTATGGACCAAATCCTCGATGCTTCGCTCGACTATTCACCTTTATAAAAAAATCATCACATTTCAAAATATGCCAAACTAACGAGCTTTTTGAAAAGCAAATCACAGGGATATAAACCAAAGAAGTCCAAGACATTAGAACGACCTGAAATAGAGAAGTTTTTGATCGAAGCTCCCGACGACGAGTACCTGTTGATGAAAGTGGCTTTGATAATGGGGAATAGGGGGGCTTGTAGATGCGATGAATTGGTTAATTTGAAAATAGAAAATATTCATGACAAATGGAAATATTTTCACGTAGAGTTTTATTTTAAACGAAAAGTATTTGTAAAATTTACAAAATGTCCATGAATAATACCATTAGGGTTTCATTAATACTACAAAACGTTTTTGTAAACGGTACAGAACTGTTTTTTTTGGATAAATAATAATAACTATATTTATCAATGCGTTTCTGCATCTGGAAGAGCGTTATTTTTTAAATATAACGTAAGTTAACTTAAATAAATTAAGTTAAGTAAATTTACTTTATAATTAATGCAAATGCTATTACTGAAAGTAGCGTTGTAGATAAATAATTTTTATAAAAATGATCTTTTTGCCGTAACAAAAGCAATTGTTGAACGAATAGGGATCTTTACTTTATTAAAACAAACTACTTTTTTTGTTATATTTATTAAAAAAAATTCAGAGTGTACCCAAATCCAGGGGGACAACCCCTGATCTGACAACATTGTCTGAAAACCTTATAATAGAACAGAATAGAAAGCAATTTCCTGTTTATCATTCTTAAAAAACTGCAGTATTTTACTTAATAGCAGCAACAACAAAACAGTTTAAGTGCGGGTCAAAAAACTTGTAAAATCGGATATCCAATCCACTTAATCCTTTTCCACTCTATAATGTATAAAAAGGACAAAACAAAATCAATTTAATATTTCTTGCATCGGGTATATTGTACACCAGAATAGTATATTCTGTAACAAGTTTGGAATACAGCATATTCCGCTCGAGTGAAGAGTTTGTCACACGAGCCGAAGGCGAGTTTGACGGTTTCACAAGAGCGGAATATGAAATTCCTAACGTGTTTCAGACTATACTTTTTCTACGTTTCCAAAAAATACCTTAGAAAATTAATTTAATTGGAAGAAAGTGAGGTTGGATCGGTCTAAAATTTGTTAGATATTAAAAACAGAGATGTCGCCAGGAGTGTTCATTCTATCATCAGATGATAGAATATTTCATTCTGTAACACTTTACGGAATATATGTCATTCCATAGATAAAAGTGATGTTAGAAGGGTCAAATTCCGTAATAGGAGTAGAAAAACTCCATTACGTATCATATCATACGACGCTTTCAGACAGATTCACTTTACTGTAATATACTTATATGGAACACTTCATCTAAAATAGGCATTTTCTATAACAAACGTATTCTACGTTAGGAATTTTTTGAAAATTTCGGTTATAACCTGTTTCTTCACATTCTTTTTCTATGGTCGATAAAGAATTATGGCGAGAATGCCCACGAGCCGAACAATTTTTAATACGGATTCGATAACGTTTTAACTTAAAAAGTAAATTTCCGAGAAGCATATAATGTTTTTATATTAGGTTTGTACATTTTTAGGAATTCTTAAAACAGTCCACCAAGAATTAATTTATTTTTAGTATAAGCTTGATAAATGCGTCTGGATTTGCTTTAAACTTCAATTAAGCATGAAATAACAAAACCTATACACTGTTATAAAAATCAGATTTGTTAACATAAGTTTGTACTTTGTTAATTTTATTTTGTAAAATTTTAAGGTAATTTTATGTCGTGTAATTATTTTAACAAAGGAAAATATTTTACCGAAAGGTACTATGCAATTTTGTATGCATTTTGTTAATTTCAAAGGTTACAGATTATTTTGTTAATGTTTTTTTACAAATTATTTCATTGAAAAGCTATACGTGATTTAAAGATAAAATGTGCCTTTTTATATGTTAAACATATAAAGGAGGAAAATAATAAAATCACCTGATTAGGTGATTAGAAAATGTCGTTAAATGGGTATTTATTACTTTTTAATTTCGTCCATCACCTCCACTTCTACTATTTTCTATTTAAGTATTTTGTTTTTTAGGCGATATTATGAAAACATATTTTCTCGTTTGTTATTTTAAACTACCCTAAATGTGTGTTAAAAATAAAAAAAATGATTTTTAATCTTTATTTTGTACATGTCTGAAGTATTTCTACATGTATGAAGTATATCTTTATTATATATATGCCAATAATATTTATGGCATTATAAACTACAAAAAAAAATATATTCTTAATTGTATTTTTGTAATTAAAAATACTTACAGTCGGCTGATTTACAAAGCATTTTGTAAAATATTCCCAAGCTTCTTCGCAAAAATTATCACTGTCAACTAAAATTTGAAATTGTTTACCTAATTTTTCAACCATTTGTTTTTAGGTACTTACAGTCTTTAACTTTACAATTTTTTAAAACAGGGCCGAATTTTTCCTTTATTTCCTTTGGATTTTTTTTTTCATAAGCAGAAACAGTAAATTTTCCTGTATCTTTATCAATCTGAAATAATTTTTCTAAAGATTTCAATATTTTTAAATTATAAAAACTCACAATTTGAAAGTGGGTAAATAAACAAAACAAATAGCATTTTAACTCTGGATTGTTAACAAAAATTCGACCATATTTTGCCTGATTTACCAAAGCTTAAAAAAAGAATTATTTATAATTAATAGTTAAAACAAATAATAATTAGGTATGTACCAACCTTCTTTTACATGGGATTCTTTAACACAATAGTCGTGGCTTTCTTTAAATATTTCTTTCAAATTACTTTCGTTATTTTCTGCAGAACTTGCCTAAAATAATTTTTTAAGTATCGAATGTTAATAATATAATGCAATAATGTACCTTGAAAAACAGGAAAAAACTGCAAAATACAACCAATACCAATTCTCTCTTCATTTTTTCTTTTACTAAAATGATGTAGTTTTTCATATTTAAAAGTTTTTATAGTACATAGACTACCGATAAATCCGATACGCAAAAAATATTTGCATAGGTAATTAGGGCATAAATTTTTGATAAAATTGATTTCACTTACCTATCTCTTAAAATAACAACGATATCTTTTATTTTTAAATTTAAATAAAAAAGTTTATATTACATAAAATCCTAGACTTATTTACAATTATAAATATGTTTATGTATAAAATATACATAGATATATAATATTTAAATATTTTGCAGGATTTTAGAGCTCTTAAAATTTTCAATTTTTTTATTTGGGGTGTGGACTATAAGAAATAAAAATACGTTTTTTTATTATTTTTATTTTTATTTGCATTAATAGTTCTGAGATAGGTACATACATTTATAATATGCTCGCCGAGAGTCATTAAAGCTCACGATAAATGGCAAATCTAGCTAGAGACGTGGATGCCAGCTCTTACAATCGTCATTTGCATTGAGTTTTTCCGTAGGATAAAGAACGTATTAAAATGAAAGTAAATCAAGTATAAAATATTTATTAATATCCTCTTATTTATTAAATAATATTGATTTATGGTACTAGTGTGTTATGTTGAAAATAAGTCACGCAAGAAAGATTTATACCACGAGGCCGTCAGGCCGAGTAATATAAATTCTCAAGTGACTTAGGAAAAGGTATACGTGATTTAAAGATGAAATTTGCCTTTTTATATGTTAAAAATATAAAGGAGGAAAATAATAAAATCACCTAATTATAATTCATCACCTATAGGTGATTAGAAAATGTCGTTAAATGGGTATTTATTACTTTTTAATTTTGTCCATCACCTCCAGTTCTACTATTTTCTATTTAAGTATTTTGTTTTTTAGGCGATATAAAAACTAGTCTAGTTTGTTATTTTAAACTACCCTAAATGTGTGTTAAAAATAAAAAAAAATGATTTTTAATCTTTATTTTCTACATGTCTGAAGTATTTCTACATGTATGAAGTATATCTTTATTATATATATGCCAATAATATTTATGGCATTATAAACTACAAAAAAAAATATATTCTTAATTGTATTTTTGTAATTAAAAATACTTACAGTGGGCTGATTTACAAAGCATTTTGTAAAATATTCCCAAGCTTCTTCGCAAAAATTATCACTGTCAACTAAAATTTGAAATTGTTTACCTAATTTTTCAACCATTTGTATTTAGGTACTTACAGTCTTTAACTTTACAATTTTTTAAAACAGGGCCGAATTTTTCCTTTATTTCCTTTGGATTTTTTTTTTCATAAGCAGAAACAGTATATTTTCCTGTATCTTTATCAATCTAAAATAATTTTTGTAAATATTTCAATATTTTTACATTATAAAAACTCACAATTTGAAAGTGGGTAAATAAACAAAACAAATAGCATTTTAACTCTGGATTGTTAACAAAATTTCGACCATATTTTGCCTGATTTACCAAAGCTTAAAAAAAAGAATTATTAATAATTAATAGTTAAAACAAATAATAATTAGGTATGTACCAACCTTCATTTACATGGGATTCTTTAACACAATAGTCGTGGCTTTCTTTAAATATTTCTTTCAAATTACTTTCGTTATTTTCTGCAGAACTTGCCTAAAATAATTTTTTAAGCATAGAATGTTAATATAATAATGCAATAATGTACCTTGAAATACAGCAAAAAACTGCAAAATACAACAATTACCATTCCTCTCTTCATTTTTTCTTGTACTAAAATGATGTAGTTTTACATATTTAAAAGTTTTTATAGTACCTAGACTACTGATAAATCCGATACGCAAAAAATATTTGCATAGGTCATACATTTTTGATAAACTTGATTTCACATATCTCTTAAAATAACAACGATACCTTTTATTTTTAAATTTAAATAAATAAGTTTATATTACATAAAATTCTAGACTTATTTACAATTATAAATATATCTATATATAAAATATACATAGATATATAATATTTCAATATTTTGTAGGATTTTAGAGCTTTTAAAATTTCCAATTTGTTTTATTTGGGGTATGGACTATAAGAAATAAAAATACGCTTTTTATTATTTTTATTTGCATTAATAGTTCTGAGATACATACATTTATAATATGCGCACCGAGAGTCATTAAAGCTTATGATAAATGGCAAATCTAGTTAGAGACGTGGAATGTACATGCCCATCGATGCGCAGACGCTCTTACAACCGTCATTTGCATTGAGTTTGCCTTAGTATAAAGAACGCTCCGCACAGTGGATTAAAATGAAAGTCAATCAAGTATATACAATTTATTAATATTAAGCTGTTATTTATTAAATAAAATTATTTTTTTTTCTACAACGGATCAAATTTGTCCGAACTGTTGTCTTCGCTGTTTACCTCGCTGTCACTGTTCCCTTGAAAAGTAATAATAAAATCATCCACGACTAAATCGTAAATGTGCAACACCCTGTATATAATTAAAATAATTTTAAAATAAATAAATGAAAGTTTAAGTAGGTAGTCATGTTGGCAAGCCGCCCACCAAAAATGTTTTGCTTTTTTTAGTTGAGTACTTAAACCTAATATTATATTATAATAATTATTAATATTTAATAATATAATATATTGATTTGTTTTACTGGTAGAAAGTTGAAGTTAGATTGATACATGGGAGAATGCATTAATTAATACATGTGGCAATGTACCATTTTGTGTAATTACGGCAAACTTATGTAGGTACTTACCCTCAAATATTGGCCACAAATGACCAAGATTGTTTTTTTCTATAGGCTATAGCCATTTTTTCACTTCCATAATATTAAAAAAGATCTTACACCATTTGTTATAAATTTTAATTATAATTATAATCTCCACTAGTCTAAACACCGCTAATATCAAAGACGAAAAGAGCTTCCGTATACGGACAACTTTGGGGATCGTGTTTTGTTGCTTGGGGTGGGGTGATTTGGCAAAATTTGAGGAGTAAATACATATTTATTTGTAAAAAATACATCGTTATTTGGCTAAAATAAAATATTGTTACAAAAATTATTTGTTAAATACAAATAATTTTTGTTTGATGCAACAGTATAATAAGTCAAACAAATTTTAAAAAATAATCAAATAAGTTGATTTATTTTAAGAAAACAAATTTAGTTTAAACTAAATAATTATTATTTGTTTAAATGCTGTTAAATAACTCATTTATTTGACATTTTAAAATTATTTTTTTCTGTGTATGGGTGAATATCCAAAACGGGGATAAATTGGGGTGGTAAAAAAATAAAAAGCAAAGATTAATGAAACACTAGCAAAATAATACCTTAATGTGTATTTCTTAATAACATAAAGTAATTTCAAGGCGGCTATAAATTAAACTTAATATATACATATAGTTATAATAATTATACTATTAGATCATTTTTTTAAAGAAAAATTAAATTAAATTTATTATAATTTAACTATATATTATTAATTATCGTTAATAATGCCTTAACTTATATGAACTAAGAGTTTAGGGCAATAATAAGAAAGTAAACAACTCCATGGACATACATTTTAACTCCATGGAGTTGATGTTTTTTAGTTAGTCACAAACTTTAGAAAATGGTACATAATGTATATTTAGTTAACTGTAATTTAAGCAAAGCATATTTGGTTATTTCATCTGGAGAAAGTTTAAATTTCAATTGTATTTAAATCCCTTTGTTATTAAAGACATGGAGTTGATCTTTAATAAAAAATACTTACCCGTTTTTTCGCAAATAATTGTTCTTTATAAATTTTTATTAAATATTACACCCCCTTTGCCTTGCTTACACAAATCAACACTAAATCACTCAAACGACGAAGTCTTCAAACATTACTAAAATACGTTTTATACAGGAGATTTATCATATATTAAAAGACTGCAAAGAACTCAGCTGTAAAATGGTGTCTCATGCTTTATTCGACATTTTGGGTTAAAATATCAATAAGTTTGCTTTTGGTTGTGTTTTTTATACATTCCAAGTTAGAGGAAATGCAACATGAAAGAATCATTTCACAATTGCATCTAGTCTAATAGTATATGGATGATTTGTTGTCCCTACGCTAGGTGGTGACAGTCCATGGAGTTGACTTTAAAGCGTTTAAGCAAATTCAAATTAATAAAATAAATAATGTTTTATTTTTTTGGTTAAGTACGTTCTACTGCTAGACATAAACTGTCTATTGTAGTGATATTTAAATGCTAACTACTTTCATTAGTATATTTTATTTAAGAGTTTCAGCATATTTGCTCCGTTCTGGAGAATCACCCTGTATAGGATAATCTACAAAATGTTTGTGATAATTGTGGACCTGGATTAACATAATATCTGGTTAAAATTAACAAATATTTTTTTACTATTTATTAAATTACCGTTAAGATTTTCTAAAAGTAAAGCAGTTTTCCTTAAAAATAACTCATCTTAAACTGGGTGTGAAAAGCGGTCGTTCTCGACAGCATTTGGCCGAAGTTAACCGGCGATTTTCAGCGTCAAATAACTTGCGAAACTTTGTTCGTCGACCCAGCCCATTTACAGTGAGCAATTTGTATTGTTTCGGCAATTCGCAAGTGGAACTGTTATCGGGGCGCGAGTAATGACGTCGTTGTTGTTCGAAGGCGATACGGCCAGACAATCAGCGCCTTCTGGACGGACCAGTAATCTGAAAGAATCGTGATAACGACCCGAACACTGCCATCTTTCACGTAGGGGATATGTAACTGGAAATATTTCTTGTGTTCTTTTTACCCTGCTTAAAATACCCCATAGAGACCCTGTTCAAACCGATAGATATTTGTATCGGAATGTATGGTGTTCCTATACGGTGTATCGGTATGTATAGGACCCATAGTTGGGATTTATGGTTGTTCTATACTAGAATGTTCTATACTAGAATCTATAGGGATACACAGTAAAAAATATGGATCGAGTAAAGTAGCTAGTGTAGTTGGTAAATACTCAGTGTGAAATGCACCAATTATTTAACTCTATAGCTTAATATTAATCTACATAACTCTATATTACATTATTTTACAGTGTAATAATAACGTGACTTTAAAAATATTATATTTTTTACTCGAATGTCTAATACAATCGCATTAGAGTTAATTTAGACTTTGTAAAAGGTAAAACATTTACACTATAAATTAGAATTTTACAACCGCTATTTGCGTTAAAATTTCCCTAGTTTTCCTCTTGCTAGTGTATTATTGTTTTGGATTAGAGTAAAGTAAACAGTAAGCGAGTATATTTTTACACTAAAAAGAGTTTTAAATCTACACTGTTAAAGTTATTTGTGGTGGGGATTGCAAAGCGTCCATAAATTTGTAAACTAGTTTAGTGCTGTTTCCAAGGGCTGTTTAATGGTTCGCTTGTGCGTGGGTGCCGCTGCATAATACGTATAAAATAGGTATATAATTATTATTTATATTCAAGAATATTTTATTGTAAAAACTTGAAATGTGATTAGGCATTATGTCTAAAAACCGATAATAACAGAAACGAGCCAATTATATACAAATCCCATTCAAAATGGATGCATTGATTTAAAAGAAACATTTGTTCGAGTTAATTTAAATATTTTAATTATACATTGTTTTTATTTTTTTGTTAGGTATATGATTTTTTTATTTTTGTTATTTTTCACAAAATATTTTGAATTTAAATATATGTTTTTAATTTTCCTCTCTTTATAGCAACTAAGGATAGAGTAATTTTTACTCGATTTGAATGTAAAGTTTACTAATCAGAGTAAAAAAAGTATGCAAATTAACTAAAAATAGAGTAGTTTGTTTACTCTAAAAGATTAAATAATTCACTAATAAGAGTCTAAATGTTATAAAAATAGTGCAAAATAATACTCTAATTAACAAAACTATTTTTTCCTGGGTCACTACCCAGAGTACCTTTAACACACAGTAGTGTTAAATTTATGCACTAGTAAATTAAATGTAACACTAAATACCGTTATAATATTTACCCAAGAAATATGAATTACTACACCATCATTAGTGTGAATCACAGACTGTGGTGTGAATATATAACTCTAAAAAAAGTCGTCGCATATAGAATGTTTTTAGAGTTTACTAGAGTTATTGGTTTCAATGGGGAAAATACACATAAATGTAGAAATTAGTTTTCCCCCCATAGGAACCCATAGGTTTTAATAAAATTTTCTCAAATGTTTTATGGTTGTTCTATAGGGATATCCCTATAGGGATATCCTACATTGAGTTATTTGCTATCGGTCTCAATAGGGAAAATGTAAAAGTTATGGTGTGCCTATAGGTAATTTTCTATAAATTTTCTATCGGGTCGTATCCGAAAAAACCATGGACAAATGCACATATTGAATCCGGTAGCGCCCGATAGATTATTTTATATAGGTCTCTATGGGGTATTTTAAGCAGGGTAGCCCTTTTTAAGGCAAAGGACTGCAATAAATGCGATAGGGTAAGGAGGTTAAGCAAAATTGGATTAAGCCACTATGCATAAAGTTAACATCCATAGAAAACCCTGTAGAACAACATGGTAACATCTACAGGGTTTTCATTGGAAAACAAACCACCTTAAATATCTTTTAAATTTGAAGAACACAAGAAAATATAAAAAATACGTCGAATTTATAAGGAGGGGAACACATTATTTAATTTAATATAGTGCTAATCCCCTCCACCATTCTCTATATAATGGTGTAAACAGTAAATCGCATTGTCGGTTCACAATTTGTAAGAAAAAATGTGTCATAATAAGACAGAAATTATTAATCAATTTACCGTTTTCCCAATTTTCGATATTTCAATTTCACCACTTTATTATATCATTAAAATTTACAGTAATTGCTGTGTTTTTTTCTCATCTTGTACGTTTCTTTTTTCCAAAAGTAAAAGTTTTTGTTGTTTTTAAGCTTATTAGAATAAATTGTATAATGAGTTTATAAATCTAAATAGTTCTACATTAGCTGTTTTAATTTATTATTTTTTTAATAAGAAATGTTAGGGACAACTGACAAATGGCAGATAATCTTAATAGTATAATGACCCATAAGTATGTACAATGTACACAGTACATCTTTAACAAGTCAAGAAATAATTCTACTTTTGGTCACAAACGTCTTCCTAAATTTCCTCGCGGGAATTCAAGTCTTTGTTGGAACTCTTTAAGCCAGTATTTAAATAGACAACTTTGGCATAACAAAGAGATTCTTATCATATAATTAGGTATCTACTTTTAGTTTAAAAAACAAGATTATGAAAAAGCTTTATCCCTACGTAAACAAGAAAACTTGTTCCACTCAATAAGCACCGAACTTATTAGGGCTTGTTAAACTTTTGTTCATCGAAATTTTAAATAATTAAATAATTCCAGAAAAGTAAAATGCGGGTAACGTTAAATTTGTTTTCTGAATTTCGCCGTTTCTGTATAAATTTAATTATACAATTTGAGTTTGTTTTTTCTACTCGTGTTTTGGGATGTTTTAAAACAAACAAAATAAATTAGGTAATTTATTTTACAACTTAAAACATCCTTATTAAATCTAAAAGGCCATTTTAACGAAATGATAAATAGAATCATCTTTGCTGAAGGGAAATGTAATTTAAATTAAATGGCAGATCCAGACGTTTTGTAATTTGTCCAACTGAATATAATAAGAGGTATAATAAATATCACAAATTTGACTTGTTAATCAAAATCTGAAAATAGTGCAACAAGATCTAATAATGAATTTCATTTATGTCTCCTTAGATGAAAGACGGTGATTTTTCATCAAAATCATCATTAAATCACTTAAGTGACCCGAAACGATAAAACAAGGTTTGGTAATTCCTTTTGTTAGAATGGACAGCAAACAATATGGCGATTTTAGGATGCTTATATTTATTGGTTAAATAACCAATATAAATTAACCTGCTATTTTATTTAAAGCATTCGGTTACTTTGTTGTGATTAATTTAACTACTTGATTTACCTATCGGTAATTTATAACTCTTTGGTTTAAATTCGGTTAATCTAACACATGATAGTTAATAATTACCTACCAAAATTAGTTAAATTAAACTAACTTGTTATTTTTAAAATAACTAACCTAAAAAAATTCCCGCCGATCTTACGTTGTGATTTTATTTTTATAAAACGCATCTGTTCTGTGATAAAATCTATAGATGCCTACCAAACTAATTAAATGTGATAGGACTGTTGGGTAAAAAAAATATATACAAATTAACCAAAGCTGTAGTTAATTTATCAAAAAGTTATATCAAAATTTAAAATAAACCAAAATATGTTTAAAAGCTAGTCTTAATCATTATCAAAGGTTAAAATTAGATATTAATAAAACGTTATGTAACTTCTAAAATAACCTACTTTTTAACTTATAAGTAATATTACTAGTTAGTTAACTAAACTGCGCACCACTCAATGTGTCGCGACCAAAAAGTTCGTCCTTTTTCAAAACGGCATAACTTTTTTGTTTCTTAAACGATTTTATTTTGGTTTGTGATGTCTGTCTCTGGCAATTCATGCTATAAATTTCCTACAGGGTGATATGTAAAACGGTGAAAAATTTCAATAACTTCATCCAAGCCCCGTTTGAAAAAAGAAATATTTTTTCTTGTTTTTACTTTGAAATAATGAAGAAGTATGTCTTACCTTGAAAAGGTTTTCATATTTTTCGAATTGGAATCTTAGCAACGAAAATCTGATTTTTTTTACAAAAGAGTACATTTAAGGCTTTTTGGTAGGCAATACACTCAGGCTTTTTAAGAATAAGAAAATAAGATGGTGAAAGATTGTTCCTTGAATAATTCTGAACAAGCGACAAGCAACAAACTTCCATTATTTTCAAAGGGGCTTAAGTAAAGACCACTTTTTTAAAATGACATTTTGGTAAAAATTTGCGAAAACTAAACCTGAACCGATATTTACGTTCGTGACATGTTTTCTTTATAATTTTGACCTCCTGATTGTGATTCAGTTGTCAAATTTAAGTTTCAGATAAAACCAAAATCACCAAGAATCAAAATTCGAAAACAATTCCCGGCTGTTAAATGTCTAAATATAATCCGAAAAAAAATCATATCGTCGTTGCTAAGATTCCAATTCGAAAAACTTGAAAAACGTTTCAAGGTAACACATAATACTTCATTATTTCGAAATAAAAACGAGAAAAAAAGTATTTTTTTACAATCGGGGCTTGGATGAAGTTATTGAAATTTTTCACCGTTTAACATATCACCCTGTAGGAAATTTACTTAAAGAACCGTGAGCTTCATATCTATAGCCTGAATTGCCAGAGGATGAGGCTAGCAGACATCACAGACAGTGCCGGTTTAAGTTAGTTCGCCGCCCGGTTCTGGCAAAAACACAACGCCCAATGCTTTAAAATATTACTTTTTTTAAAACATTTTTAAATTTTTAAGTTTTACTTTCTCACGTCAAGTGGAAGATTAGGTTGGTTAGGCTGGTATCTAACAGTAAACTTAGTATCCTATAAAATATAAAATGAGCCTTTATAAACAAATTATAAAAACTAATCAAAAGCACTAACTAAAAAATAAAACATTATTTGGTTTATATAAACAATACTAAGGTTGTTTTCAAGTCTTTATAGTAGCAAATTGTTTTATAACACTTTACATTTATTTCATCTAGCAGGTCTTGATAAATGGACAGAATTGCTAAGGAGTTAAATCTTTCTTGGGGAATTGTATTTCTTAGGTAGTTCTTTACCCTTTTTAGAGCAGAAAAAGATCGTTCACCACTTGCATTTGAAACCATTATAAAAAAAAAATCGCAGACAATTATTAATATTCGGAAATGAAGATATTAATTTATTTTCGTATAAAACTTATACTAATTCCAATGGAGTTTCTATTTTTATTTCCGAAAGGGAAGTTATCAGTTTCTTGAGTTGGACACATTTTTAAGGAAAAAACTCATCCAAATCCTCCACGAAGATTTATGCTTTTAGATTAAACAAAAATTCAAATTTGTTTGTGCCAGATTTCTTATCATATCGACAAATGATTTTGGATTATAGATTGTCAATTATTAAAATAAAACTTATTGTTCGCATTGTTTCTTTTTTGCTTAAACTTGCCTCTGAATTATTTTCTTCAAATTGTAATTTTCTTATGATTATCCGCTTCTGAGCATAATTTTGTTTCCTGTTAATTTCCTCGTAATGATCAAAATGATATCACGTAAAAAATCAAAGTTCTCAACAAAAAATGACAAAAGATGAGCATTTGTGCTTAAATCCATATTTTGTTTTTGGACTGCTTTATTGGTTTCATTAACCCTTTGCAAAACGTCTATCCAAAAAGTTCAAATTATTCCGTTTCCAATAAATCAAGTTTTTCTGCTGCTTTAACTATAACAACATTTTTCTCATTTGTATCCGTTGTATCCGCCGACGCAGTGTCGCAATAATTTTTTTTCTAAATTCTAACAATTAAGTATTTTTTTTAAATTATGGGCGGTACGCGGTACCGCCCCAAAAATATTTACCGCCCGGTGCTATAGTCCCCAAAAAACCCCTGTTAAACCGGCACTGATCACAGACCAAAATAAAATCGTTCAAGAAACAAAAAAGTTATGTCGTTTTGAAAAAGAACGAACATTGAGTGGTGCGCAGTTTAGTTAAATATTTGGTATATTTATAGACAATTTAAACTATTGAAATAAGCTTAATTTATTCATAGGTAAATTTAGGTTAATTCAAGAGTTTAAATGGATTATAAATAAACCATTTATTTAACTAGTCAGTAGTAATATTACCAATAGGCTTCTTTTATTAGTTAAATTATTCTTAAAAACTAACATTTAAATTTACCTTATGGTTGTAGCAACCGATTGATAAATTTAAAGGGTAAATTTTAGTTCATAGTAATCTTTAAAAAATATTAATGGTTGAATACAAGTAATTGGTTAAAAAACAAGTTTAAAAAAACGTTATTTTACTTAGATTTGGGTAATTTACTTAGACTTTAATATTTATTTTTTTTTTCTCTAGGCGAACGACTGATCCAATTCGCATCGGAAAATTTGGTGACTGAAGTGCTGATCCATCCTGCTGTGAGTACGTTGGCTCAGTGCGTGAGAAATTTGCTGAGCAGCTTCACCAGACACCGGCACATCATCCACGCCGGATACACATATGCAGCTAACGGATCATGGGCTTTACAAGTAAGATTTTTTAGGTGGCTTTTCTGGAAAGTATTGATTCTCGTGGAAAACTTAAATTATAATTCTATAGAATTGAAGAATTATATACTGTATTGTACCTTTACTTGATGAAACTCCATGTCACTAATGTATAACTAGATAAAAACAAACACTGTTTTTTAAGTTTATTTCAATTTTATTTTGACAATTGTTTCGCTAACACAGTAGCTTCTTCAAAAATGATTTCAAACTTTTTCTAATAACAAACTTATATAACCCAGTTATTGGTAATGGGTTTTTTTTAACAAATTGTAGTATCATACTGTCATTATGACAATTTTACCTGTCGAAGTATAATTTAACACCAGTTGTAGCAAAGTGATTTGGGGAATTTTATATAATATTAGAATAAATTTAAAAGAGGGGACTTATTTTTTTCTATTTGATCATTGAGGATGCCATCAGATTTTTTTTAATTTATTAATTTCTAATGATTCAAGTAAATTTAACGTCTATCTGCAACATGTAAAATTTTAAATTTATTGTTAAATGAATGGTGTTCTTGAATTAAATGGTTGGCATAAGTTGAATCTGTTTTTTTTTTATTTATAAAATATTTTTTATATTCATTAATTCTGGTTTTAAAATTCCGGCCAGTTTGGCCTATGCACTATCGCTAATAAAAAAAAACTCATACAGCTATATTGTGGCTGTGTGAATAAAACTTTTCCATCAATGTCAAGCTGACATCGAGCTTTGTCACATCCATTATGACTTTTTTGACAACATTTTCAACCAAACAATGCAGACGAACTCTGGCAAGCCATTGAAGCCATTTGGAACGAGATAAAGCAAGACGGCGACTTCCATGCTTTGCCGTTTGCGGGCAGTAATTGACAAAAACAGAGGGATGACGAAATATTATTTTTTTTTCAAACTTCAACCTAACTTTGTATTTAATTTTAGACCTTTCAAATGTGACGTATCATGTTAAGAGCCATAATTACTCCAACGAAATGATAGAAAATCAGGAACACTAGATTTTTAAGCTGTATAAGTTTTTTTTGTTAGCGATAGTAAGTTTTTGGACAGTCTGCACAATGTAGTTGGTAGACTCCGGATTTCCTATCTTTCTTAGTTTTATCTTTGTTGTTTTTTATAAATGTACTCAAATTGTTGTTGGTTTTAAATGCAATAGAAATATTATGTTTTTTGAAGAAATTCGACACATGTCTAGTCTTAGTATACTAAGTATGTGAAAATGTCAACAACAATTGTCAAAATAAAATGGGTTTTTTTCTGGTTATACATTATTGAAGAATTATAGTTAAATTTTATTAAATTCCTAAAAAATCTAAACGCATAACAACAAACGAAATTAGTAAGGAAATTAGTAAAGATTTTATACAGGATGTTTTACGTTCGTGGTCCATAAGAAGTTTCTGGGGGACAGAAAAAGATATTAATTTAAAATTTTAAAAGCCTTTATAATCCGTTTAAGTCTATTTTTCTAAAATATTTTGAACAAAATGCCACTTTCGGTTTAACCGGACCTGGCATCAGCTTTGTTATTTCAAATAGAACACATTTTTAAATTTCACATAAAATTTTGAGTAAAATTACTAATATCATATCCTATACCTAAAGTGAATGGTTTTCGAGTTATTAATTTTTTTCGTTAAAATTTTACAAATGCCCGTCAATCAAAAACTTTTTTGTTAGTATGTTTGCGAATATGGGAGTGGAATTTTTAAAATCCTAAAACATTGTTTAAAATATTCTTTGTCAATACTTTAACATTTTTCCAGAAATTACCTGAGAAAACCCAGGGCAAATTAGGCTAACTTGAAAAGTTAAAAAATTTCTTATTTTAAACGTAACACCCAGTATGTTTTCACATAATCATATAGTAAATTAAAAAATCTTTTAAATTTGTAACTATTCCCTATATTTAAAAGTCATAATTTAAGAGATAATTAACAATTTCTAAAATTTAATTGGTTGTTAAACAGGGTTGCCACTCATCTGGAAAACCTGGAAATGTCAGAAATTTAATTTTTTTAGAAATGTCAGAGAATTGGCAAAAAAATCTACAAAGTCAGGGAATTCCTGAGTTAGGGAATTGGTTATTTATAAATTTAATTTATTCAAAATATGGCAGCGCTATATGTCAAACTTATCACTATAACCTTAGAAGTCTATATCACGACTTATCACTATAACCTTCTAAGACTATAACCAACTATTTTTATGTTTAGGGTGATTAATATAATATTTTTTTATTTTGTAAATGGTAAGCATAATTAATTAATCAGTAAAAGCATAATTAATTAATTAATTAATTAATCAGTAAAAGATAGTTCATGTTGATAAAAAACCGTTTCAAGCTAAATATTTGATTACTAAGAAGCATTTATTTTTTGAATTTTATAAACTTCAATAAAAGTTAAGTTTTTTAATTAATCGTTATAATTTTCCACCAAGAGAAAAATAAATTCAAGTATTACATAAGCTTTGATTTTTTATTGTATATTTTTAATGATAAGCTTTACTTACTTTTGCTGACAAAGGGAAGGGGGGGTTAAAAATTACAAAAATACTGCTTACGTAATACTTAAAATTTTAAAAACCAACGCTCAAAGTCCAGTTGAAAAAATCATTGAGGGTCAGGAAACCAAAAATAAAACTGCTAGTGTCGACACATTTTGTCAGGGAATTTGGTTTAGACAAATCGGTGGCAACCCTGTTATAACTGTAACAATTAATTAAAACAACAATATTTTAGTCAAAAGAGCAACGTCTAATGTGACTATATCTCAAAAACTTCTCAACTTTTATAACCTTTGACGGTATTTTCAGATTCAGTGGACAATACATAAGAATTGGTTGTTAAATATTAGGAATACAAATTGCTGTGGTCTACAGTTATTAGTTACGGCTTTTTCACTTAATCAATTAAAAATCTTTATTCTTTTTTACATGAATTGCACATGAAAGATAAAATAGATGCAAAATTTGATATACGATTGAGTTTTAAACCATTTACACACTCTAAATTTTCTGCAATTCACTATTTTTAATTACAATTCAACAAGGATTCGGAAATTACCTACACTTTCGCGTCAATTGTTTTTGAGGGCATAAATCTATCGACTGAATTGGTTTCATTTTCCCTTTTCGTGGTATTTTTTCATTTATTTTAATAATAAATGACGTAATATGAGCCTTTTGTGAATCCTTGGGGGGTCTGCTTTTATAATAAACTACATAGAAACGTATAGATATGCGGGCATTTGGGATTGTATTACTTTGCGTTTATTATTAAGTCCAACGCGCAACATCTGTTTCGAATGTCTGAAAAATATGTAAATTGGTTGACTTGATTTATTTTAATTGTTGTAAATCTATGTTTTTTTTAAGAAATATTTAAAAATTCTCAGTATCCTGGTCTTAAGATACTATCTTTAAATGTTATTTATCCGAAATCGGCAGTAAAGGAGTCAACAATCGGCAGTAAAGTAGAACTTTACTGTCGATTTAATACGAGTATTGTATGCAACCCATTATACATTTTAAGATGTGTCTACTGATCCTCAGCAGCAACTAAATGATATTTAATTAAAAGCACCGTTGCGTAGGTCGATTGGTCCCTTTCTTAAAATGGTGTTTAATAAAAATAATAAGTTAATTTTATTAATTAAATTAAACTTTTTCTGGTTTTCAAACTGAAATTAGGAGATACAGTGAAGTGGGTTAAAGTTACGAAATACATCAAGGGCCGGTTTATCAATCTTTGGTTAAGTTCCAGTTAGGCTATCTTAAATTCTATATCGATCGTTGTGAGAACAATGGTATCCATAGAGATTATCTGCCAGATAACTAACTGCAACTTTAACTGGACATTGATAAACCGTTGTTACCAAATGGTTTTTCTACCAAAAATAAATCAAATAAACAATAAACAATTATGAGTACGGTAGAGTAGCGAATATTCTAGTGTTTTTATTATTTTATAATAATGCGGCTTATTTGTAATAACGTGGTGAAAAAGCGCTGGTTTGGTGCAAGACTATCCTAAGTCCATTTTCAAAGAATTTGATAAAAACACTATTAAACATTTCTATTTATTGTAACTAAAGCGTCATTCTTTTAAAAATTGTAAGGTTTTACAAGAATGACATAAAAAACAATTTAGTTACAATACATAGAAATGTTTAATAGTATTTTCTCCAATTCTTTGAAAATGTATAGTCTTGCACCAAACCAGCGAACAGGGGCGTAACCAGGCTGGGGCAGCCGGGGCACCGCCCCAGGGCCCCTGGGGTAGGGGCCCCCAAAACGTAAAAAAAAATTAAATGTCTTACAGCAAAAAATAAAATCAGGCAGCAGAAAAAATCCATTATATTATTCATAATCCTGATTTCTTAAAATAAAAAGGTATTCTATAGTTATTAGCCATCAGTGATTAAGGGCCATTTTAGGCATGCAGACGGGACAAATCACAAAACTGTTTTTATAACAAAAATTGTAGGTGATTTATTATATAATATAATATTTTGGCACCAAAATTGTCAAAAATATTTTATAAAAGTAGAGATAACTTTAATAATTGACAGGTGTGGACGAGACAAGAGAAATCTTTTTTTTGTCCCGTCCACACCTTTCAATAATTAAAATTATCTCTATTTTTATAAAATATTTCTTGCGTTTTTTTTTATTTAATGTATAGCTTAATAAAAGAAGAATATTTTTTGACAATTTTGATGCCAAAATATTATATAAAAAATTATCTACAATTTTTTTTATAAAAACAGTTTTGTAATTCGTGCGTTTCACGCGTCTGAAAACAATTTTAGATGATGTCAACCCATGAAGTTTAAAAAAATACCTATTATTACCTGTACACAATTTTACTCATTATTTTGTTAAAAAAAAGATTTAAATAAAGAAAAAAAAACATGTTTTTATGTTATTTTAAACAGTTTTTTTTTTAATTTTATCCATGGGCCCCAATTCACGTCCTTGCCCCGGGGCCCCCACATGCCTAGTTACGCCCCTGCCAGCGAAAGACAAAGGCGTGGCGCGCTCAAAGCATGCCGCTTTTTAGGCGCGTGCCGAAAGCAATTTCGCTTCTGTTTTTATGCCAAGGATATGAATTTATTTCAGATAAAATTAATCAAAAAATATTGTTTACACAAATTTTATACTGTTATATTTCTTTTAAAATTATCCCTTTCTTTTTCTCTCTTCTAAGGCAACTTTTTCGCGGTATAGCAATAAATTTGAAATTTATCGCACTACCCTATTGTCTAACATACCGTACCTTCATTTGCAAGCTAACCATAGGGAAAATACATTGTAACTGGACCAGATAAGTCGCAGTCAACACAAAGCGAGAACCTTCTCAGAAATGATTTGGATGCGTCGTCGAGACATGCGTACTAAAACAAATTTAATCCCCAGGGTCCGAGACTCAAGTCAAGTGGAGTCAGTGTGGATCCTCGTTTGCAATTTCCATCACGTTTTCACAGAATTCCATTCTGCGGCACTTGTCATCATCATAAACTTCCTGATGAACCTGGTATTTGTAGGTTTTAAATTTTTTTTTTTTATATTTTATGAACTTTGCCCACACTAACTCCGGTGTCTTCAGAAAGTTTGGCAACCGAAACGGTGGAATCTTGTTGTACCATTGCACAAACCATTATTTCCTGCAATTCAGCGTTGTCATTAATCCTGGGAACATTATGGCATTTAGGCATGGTAAAAGGCAGCCTTTTGATTTTAAATTGTCATAAGTAGAGGAAATAGTTTTGGTACAAGGAATTGGGCGATCCGGGTATTTCACAGAGAAAAGATCTCTCGTTTCCCTAAAAGAATTTCCCCGAATTACCCAATAAATCATATCAAACTTTTCCTCTACAGTATAGTGATTCATTTTAAAAATCTATTTTATTTTTAATTGTTTACCAGATGTACACCGCACAAAATACAAAACAATAATAAAGCATCGATGTATGAAGCAAGGTCAACTGTTACGGCGCATGCTAGCCTACTCGTCCACGCGTCCAAATCATTTCTACAACGTTTTTCGCTTCGTGCTGACTAAGACCTATCTGGTCCAGTTGTCCAATGTATTTTCCCTATGGTTAGCTTGCAAATGAAGGTACGGTACTTAAAATTAATCATGATGCAGAAATATTCAGTGAAACTTCTTGAAAAACTAATTAATACCTGCACCTTTTTTAAATTAATTAATTAATTTGACCCTTTAGCGTAGGTATTCCTTTCGATTTTAAGTTTCAAAAGTCGGTAAATCTTCGAAAAAATAAGCATTTTAATGAAAACGCTCCTGCCCTTTTTTATAAATAGTTTAAAAAATGCATGCTATTTAACTTTTTCTTTTTTAGGACGGAACATTTTCGTTGTCCGACTTTTCCGAAGCGTTTCAAGAGATCGAAGTGCAACGCGTGATCCGCGCCTACGAGAACGGCATCTCCCTGGACTTGCACTGCTCCCCGGAAGGCGACTGGACCCGCCTTCCCAAGGAGAACTTCGCAAAGTGCTGCAAACTTCGCGTCAACCCGAACGACGTCCTCACGGCCGGAACTTCCTCCATCACCAGCTTCGTAGACTACATCGCGCCGTTTTTGATTCCCTCGGTGATTGAAAATCTGCTGGAAAGTTCGGACGTGGTGGGAAACATCCGGTTCTCCAGGCCGACTCTGTACGTGTTTCCGGGCGGTCAGGGCGACGCGGCGCTGTTCGGGATCAACGGATTCAACATGCTGCTCGACGGCGGGTTTTCGAGGAAGGCGTGCTTTTGGGACTTTGTACGCCACCTAGATCGGCTGGATGCCGTGTTAATGACGAGACTGAATAATAGCAACGTTAATGGAATTAGTGCTGTGTTAAAGAGGAAGAAACAGGATGCGGTTTATCCTCAGATTGGCCATTTCTTTTGCAATATTACGGTGAGTACCTAGGTACATTAGGGTGTTTCAAAAAAACCTTTGAAAAAAAGTATGATTGAAAAACCGGCCCTTATTATTAATATTATGAACTCAAACTTTTACAATATTTTTTTGTCACCCCAAACCATATTTTCGATATACTTAAAAAAAAAAAAGTTGCTGGTGGCGGAAAAAAAATCGGCGTACGGTAGCTTGTGCGAGGCTCGGGAGAGATAAGGCAATGGGACCAGTTATACGACTATTATACTCTACATGAATATGAATGATTAGGAACTCAACACAAGACAGGTTCTAATCATATTGCACTTGTGAACATCCATTTTGCAGAATATCTCAAAAAAGAGCTGATTAAGCAAAATGATGGTAATTTTTGGATTCACCGCACCCAAATTCCCCTGAAAAAAATGTTGGCTACCCTGCAGCAAACATAAAACTTTATTTTGTAGGTATGTGTCATTTACTACATAGAAATTGTTAATGTAGGTTAGGGTGTTTCAAAAAAACCTTTTTTTGTTTTTTTTTCTCGGAACCACGCTCAAAAGTTTCGTATAGATATAAAAATGAGCCTGTGAAAAAATGAGCTCTTAATTTCAAAATTAAGATGCTCCGCATCGCACTTTTCGATTTTCCATAAAAATAACATAGGAAAAATTATTTTTGTTTCTTTTTATTTTTGTAACTAACGAACAATAAGTCGTACTATAAAGTTCTTGACATATTTTTGTAGAGAATTGAACGCTCTACAAAAAAGGTTTTTTTATGATTTTTTGATAAATTTGATCCTTCTAAACAAATTTAAGGTCAAAGTTCAAATTATACGAAATTTTTGTGTTTTTTAACTACCCGACTCATTTAAAAAATTTGAAATATTTTTGTAGAAAATTGAACGCTCTACAAAAAAGGTCTAGAGTCATTTTTCGTTAAGTAAACTTGGTTAAAAGTTATTCAATGTTAAAGTGAAATTAACCGTCAATTTAGTCGTTTTCTCGAAATTTTTCTGGATTTTTTAGTTCAAATTGCTAAAAACGAATCGAAATATTATTTTTGAGCTCTGGAAGTTCGGAAAAACAGCATTCTCTACAAAAATATTTCAAAAATTTTAAATGAGTCGGGCAGACTCGCCAAATAAGTTAAAAAAACCCAAAAATTTTGTATAAAATGAACTTTGACCTTAAATTTCTTTAGAAGGATCAAATTTATCAAAAAATCATAGGAAACCTTTTTTGTAGAGCGTTCAATTCTCTACAAAAATATTTCAAATTTTTGTTTTTTAGTTACAAAAATAAAAAGAAACAAAAATAATTTTTCCTATGTTATTCTTATGGAAAATCGAAAAGTGCGATGCGGAACATCTTAATTTTGAAATTAAGAGCTCATTTTTTCACAGGCTCATTTTTACATCTATACGAAACTTTTGAGCGTGGTTCCGAGAAAAAAAACAAAAAAAAGGTTTTTTTGAAACACCCTAACCTACATTAACAATTTCTATGTAGTAAATGACACATACCCTACCTACAAAATAAAGTTTTATGTTTGCTGCAGTGTGGCCAACATTTTTTTCAGGGTAATTTGGGTGCGGTGAATCCAAAAATTACCATCATTTTGCTTAATCAGCTCTTTTTTGAGATATTCTGCAAAATGGCTGTTCACCAGTGCAATATGATTAGAACCTGTCTTGTGTTGAGTTCATACTCATTTATTCATGTATGAGTATAAGAGTCGTATTTTTTTCCGCCACCAGCAAGTTTATAGCTTCACCCAACTATTTTTTTTTTTGAAAAGTAAACTGCTCGTCATAAAAATCGACGCACCTAGTTTTTTGGAAAATATTTGAAAGCTCGTTATTGGAAAATTACTGAATCGATTTTGAAAATCTTTGGAAATCCTGAATAGCTGATTCTTTGACTCTTATGTCCAACTTTGGGAATACGATATTTTGCACATAGCATTATACTACAGGGTGTTAAACGAAGAGATGTAGTTTTTCCGAAATTTCAAGTTATTCCCATTCATGAGGCAGTTGAGTTTGATAGTCGTAATACCCCTCCCTAATATAAGTAAGGTAATCCCTCGGAACGTTTTCGAAATTTTGTGAATATCGAGGCTTACTACGATTATATGCCAATTTTTCGAAAATTGTCTTTATTTCCCAGTTTAGTCCAAAAAATTAGCAATAGTGGATTCTTATTGTGAAAGTTTGAGTCCATAATATTAATATTAAGAGGTCTATCATCGCAATTTTAAAATTTTTTTCCTCAGCAAGTTTTTGTCTCAGAACTCCCAAACCATTGAGTTTAACAAAATTGACTTAAATATTTTTTTAAGAAAATTAAATGCTCTACAAAAAAGGTTAAAATAAAATTTTCCATCCAATGAACCGTTTTCTTAAAATCATGCCTTAAAAATTGGTATAGTTTTACATTTTGATCTTTTAACTTTGGAATTTTGTAATTCATGTAAAAATCAGTTGCCATAAAAAAACGATAAATATTCTTAGGAAAAATCAAATGCTTTACAAAAAAAACATTTTTCGCTAAATTGACTCAATCAAAAGTTATTCAACGTTAAAGTTGAAGTCAAAACGAAATTCTTCTTTTTTCCTCTGTAGATTTATTTTTTTATGAATGATAATTTAATTTTTTTTCTTTATAAATGTTTATTATATAACTAATTAACAATTTCCAATAAAAAAACAACATGATTGTTATTATTTAAACGATGAAATAGGTAACAGTGAAAATAATATTTTCTAAAGAAAATAGTTTCTTAACGCGAAAAAATAAAACAAGAATTTTGTTTTGACTTCAAATTTAACCTTGAATAACTTTTGATGGAGTGAATTTAGCCAAAAATTTTAGAAGACTTTTTTTGGTGAGCATTTGATTTCCCATAAGAAGATATCGTTTTTTTCCGGGTACTGATTTTAACATGAATTACAAAATTCCAAATTTAAAAGATCAAATTGTAAAACTATACCAGTTTTTAAGGTATGATTGTAAGAAAACGGTTCATCTGACGGGAAATTCTACTGTCCTGAGACAAAAACTCGCTCAGGAAAAAAATCTAAAACTGCAATGATAGACCTCTTAATATTAATATTATGGACTCAAACTTTCACCATAATTTTTTTTGCCACCCCAAACAATATTTTCGATATACTTTAGACCGGTAAATTAGTATTACTTCAAACATTTGGGATTACTATTTGAAGTTGAGGAGTTGTTAGTTAGCTGTAGGGACCCCCCCCTATTCGTGGTATTTCATTTGCGACTCATTTCCAAAATCTGTTTTTCTCTAGTCGTTTAAGCACATTATACAGTTCTTTTCACTATGGTTTAAGCATTGGTTTCGTCTTTGTCTTTTATGCTTTGGTAACGACTGATTAGTTCGATTATTGCATTTTCGACATAGGGTCTACATATAAGTTCCTAGGTTCCAATGTTTAATTATGTCCCGGTTAGTTAAAACACTTGGTGATTTATTTGTCTTGCTCAGCTATAATCTCGTGAATGCCAGCGATAAGATTTGGACGCCTTGGATTTATTGTTTTTTTGTATTGTTTTGTTACTATTGTCTTATTATTAATGTTGATGTTGCTCTTTATTTTTTTTTAACTAAGGTTGTGTTTGAGCGGTTAGCCTCGTTTGTTCTTTACATAGAATGCTTCCTAATGTCAGGTGGTTCGTCCGCCAGGTATGCGGTCACTTATCACTTCACACTCTATTACTTCCGTGACCGTAAGTTAGCCTTTAATTCACTGTAGATACAATGCATTATTTTTATTTGCACTGTAGGAGTAGCTTATTGTGGGTTGTAAAATTTTGGTTATTACTGGTTTAGTCGGTTACTATGTCTTACCTCATCAAGAGTTCGAACGTGACTGATGATTAGAAAAAGTCTTGTGTTGTGTATAAATTCTTAAAAATTTTCTTTTTTAGGAAAGAAAAACCTTGTTGAGTCCGGACGGAGACAAAGACAAGGACCCCCTGCTGATAAACTTGCTGGAAGAGGGCCAGGAAATCATATCCAACCTACGGCACCTCAGTCTGAACCCTCAGGTGTGTTATCGCGATTCCGAGCCCATTAATCTGTACCATAAAGTAGGCCATGGTACATTAGACATGTACGTTCTCAGTCCTGCCAAAGATTCCAAAGAGGTTAGGGATTTCCTGGTCAAGTGGAACCAGAGCGACCAGAAGTTGTTTGCCAACCAGAAAACCGGACGGGATTTCAACATCCCGGTGCAAAACATGGTATCGATTTGCGCGCTGTTGGTGTGGCAGCCTGCTAATCCCAATGATACTATTACTAGAATACTGTTTCCTGGTAGCAGCCCCCAAAAGAAAATATTCGAAGGGTTGGATAGAATTAGGCAGCTGGATTGCGTTAAGCATCCAGTGTGTTCGGAAAAATCACTGATGCCAGTCTCCCTAATCCAAAAGTCCAAACAAAAAGACACACTATTAGATAAGGTTATACCAACTGAAAAACCCAAAGTTCCTGTTGAGAAGAGAGAGAAACGGCAAGAAAACAAACTGATTGAGAACAATATTAAAAATGGCGATATGAACGGCGCCCCCAAAGAAAAAATCGTTAAGAAATCGGATTCAACTGATAGCGAGAAGAGCGCTAAAGTTAAGAAATCCGACGAAAAAATCATCGAGAACGGTGACAAACCAAAGTCCAAACCAAAGGCTGCGCCTAAGCCACGCGCGGATTCTCAACAGAGAAAAAAAGCCGCCAAAGCCGAAGCCGACAAGAAGGCCTCGCCAACAACTCCAAAGAAAACCGCAGATAACAAAACGAACGGCGAATCTAAACCAAAGACTGCTTTCAAACCATCCCCCTCAGCGACCCCGGCCAAAAGTACAAAAGACGCAAACAATCGCAAGGTAATCGAATCCAAAAAAGCTGTTCCCAAGAAACCCGAACCGAAACCGGAGCCTAAGCCTAAAGTGGAAAGGAAACCCATATCCAGGCGCCCCAAGGAAGCCCCCAAACCAATCAGCCCCATCAAAAAAGTTAACGGTGTTCAGAAACCTGATAGTATATCCAAGCGTGGAAAACTAGACAAAGAGGGCACAACCGACTCCAGCACCGTAAGCACGCCATCCGCAGACCAAGAAAGTATTTTAAAAAAAGACCTATCCAAGTTGACTCCGGAAGAATTGCAACAACTGAAAGAAAAAGAGTTGGCTGATCTTAAAGAGGAACAGGAAGCTGTTAAAGAACTCGAAGCTGTATTCAAGAAAGCTGAAACAGTTAAGGGTGAGGAAGAACCCTCAAACCTAAGAAAAGTAAAAGAAGCCTCTATTGATGATAAACTTGAAAATGAAGAATACCTTATCGTGGAAAAAGAAGAAATCGAACACGATTCATTGGACGACAAAGTCAAGGAAGACGAGACACAAAAACACGCTCGAGACAGCGAAGAATCAGAAAAACAGAGAAAATTAAGCGGCGAATCTATCAAAATCACTACCAAAATAGTAGAAGTAACAAACGAAACCCGCGAAGAAATAAGCGAAGAAGTACGGAACATCGTGGAAGAAGCGGCTGAATTGGCAAAATCCAGAGAAAACAGCCAAGACAACAAAGTGGAAGAGGCAGCTGTTGATAAAAAAGAAGCCGACGAAGAAGTGAAAGAGGTCGCGCAAGAATCTCAACCGGACGAAAAATGTTCAGCAAATGTTGAATCGGGAGCGACAACAACCGCTCCCACTTTACCTGAAGACGAAAGAATTCCCTTGGACGAAATTAAAGAAGATAACGCTCAGGCGGTCGTCGAGGAAAAACATATCAAAGAAGAAACCAAAGAAAAAGATATCCCAGTAATTCATTTACCTCCGAAAACTGTTGATGCCAGCAAAATCTCGCCGGTGATCGGCATCAAACTCGACAAGCAAGCCCATATCAAAGATATAGTTAAAACTCCAGACGAAGTCGCTGATTTGCCTATGCATGAAGAAGTTGACGATATAGAGTTCGAATACTCTCACGAATTAAAAGCCACTGATGTACCAGAAAAAATTCACGATGCTGACAAAAAAGATAAACCTGTAGAAGAAACGGACGCCAAACCTATAGAAGGAAGCCCAACAGATAAGGAGAAGCTTAAAGAACTAACCGATAACGTCATTCAAAATGAAGCTGCAATTGCAACTGATATTTTAAGAGACAACGAAAAAGAAATATATGCTTTACCAGAAGTAAAAAAGGAACAAATAAAAGAAACAGATGCCGTCTGTACCAAAGAGTCTACAAAATCACCTGACGAGGAGAAGGAGAAAGATGAACATGAAATTGAAAAAGAAGATAAAGTTGATTTAAAATCACCCGAAACTGAAACCAAAGAAATAAGCAAACATCCTAAAGTAGAAGTAGAAGAAGAAAATAAAAAGGCTGTCGAGGAGGATAGCAAGAAGCCAGAAGAAAAGGCCGAAGAAAGTAAAATACCGGAAGAAACTAGTGAAATAACAGAAAAACACAAAAAAGAAAACCTGGTTAAGGAAGAAATAAAGGAAAAAATAGAAGACCAAAAATTGGAAGAATCCAAGGATATTTTACAAGAAGATGAAGTACGGGAAGATATACACAGCAAAGTACAAATAGAAAAGGCTGAAACAGTTAAGACTGAAATAATTACCAAAGAAAAAGAAGTTGTTGAAACTAAACTTGATGCTGCAAAAAATGAGGAAACTGTTAAAGATGATAATAAAGAAGAAACAAAATCCGAACCACCAGAAACTTCACAAGACATTGTCGATAAATTAAATAAAATTGACGATGACACAAAAGAAGAAGACACCAAAAAGGACGATGATAAAATTCAAACAGAAAAGAAACCTGTCAAAATAGAAGAAGAAATTAAAGAAACTGAAATAATAAAAGAGGAAATATCAGTACCTGAACAAGCAATGCGTAGGCTTTCTGCCCAAATGGATGGTATGTCGAAAGTTGAAGATAAATTAGATGAACTTAAAAATGAAGCTGCCGAAAACGTTATTAAAGATGACACAAAACCAGAAAGTAAAAAAGAAGATGACGAGAAAATTGATAGTGATACAACTGCAATTAAAACAGAGGACATTAAAGAAGACGAAAATAAAACCGATGATAAAATAGCGGCACCCGAAGAAGCCATACGAAGACTATCCGCTCAAATGGACGGTATGTCAAAAGTGGAAGATAAATTGGAAGAACTTAAAAATGGTAACGCTGAAACCGTTCACATAGATCATAAAACTGAAGAGACACCTCTGCATGCTGAACAAGTTATAATATCTTCAGCAACCACACCAGATTCTCCAATGACAATTGAACCACCACTAGCGGACCTTCCTGACAAAATTGAACTAGGAAGAAAATCACCCAAAGAGCGCGAAGAAGATGTAATCAAAATCGTGACTAAAGTTGCTGAAGTTCTCAAATCAGATGCTCCATTAGAACAATTCAAAGGTACAATTCCTTTGGCAGCTTTTCCATATACAACCGAATTAAGAGAAACTCACATCACAACAGTTGAGTCTCCTTTAACAGAAAGTAAAGACATAACTACGATACCTGAAGAACCTTACGATTTAAAAATTGCTTCTTCTGTATTCATAGAAGAAGAAAGACAACATCCACCAATACCTGAAGTCGACGAAAAATCCGAACTTGAGCAAAAACGTGACAGCCTCATTAAAGAAACTCAAGAATTAATGATGGCCAGTTCTAAGATACTTCAAGATATCAAATCAAAAGCTGACGAAAACGATAAAGTTGAAGAGGATCCCGGCACTGTACATCGCATGTTGGTGACAGCTTCAAGTGAAGATGGTGGCGAAGAAATTGAAATTTGTCCACCGGGCACCATAACTTTCTCGAAAAGTTCAGAGAGTTCGGGAAGATCATCTCCGGAAATAAGAATGTCATCCAAAAAATCATCAATTGTCGACACTGCATCAGAGTCTATTGTTACCATTATTAAAGAAACCGAAGAAAAAGAAATAAAAGAAGAAAAACACGAGAGCAAGGAGGAAACTTTGGAAGTGAAGGTTAAAGATGAAAAGAAAGAATCTGGTATTTCCACGCCTGACTTAAAAGATTCTAAGGAGGCTTCAGGAAAGACATCCCCTCTTTTACTTGAAAAGGACTCAGGACAAGCTTCACCTTCATTAGAAAAGCCAAAAATGCCTGAAACAATAAATGATTCCAAAGATGCTTCAGGGAAATCATCGCCTGATCTTTTGGTTAAAGAATCTCACATTGAAATGTCAAAAGAAGCTTCTGGAAAATCCACTCCTGATCTACCAGCTTCAGGTAAAACATCACCTGCTCCTGCAGAAAAACCAAAAGAAACACCAGAAGAGAAAGAGAAAGCAGATTCTGGAAAATCATCCCCAGATATTAAAGATAATTCAGGAAAAACTACACCAGATATAAATAAAAGCCTCTCTGAAAAATCCACCCCCGACAATAAGGAAAGAAAAAAATCAATTCAGGAAGAAGTCATTACCAAAAAAGTAGCAGACCAAAGCGAAAATACGCCTGATGCAATCAGAAAAGAATCTTTAAAACATGACGATAATAAACTTACCGAAATGGCAGGCCTTAATGGAAAAGTATCCCCTGCATTAAGCGACAAAGATTCGAGTCCTAAAAAATCTGGAAAATCCACACCAGAAGAAAAACCGACATCAAGAAAATCCAGTAAAAACTTGGAAATAGACCTATCAAGTACCAAAGTATTATCTGGTAGAAAATCACCGGATGTAATCTTTTCACAAGAAACTGATCTTTTACTAAGAACTGAAATCCCAACACCCGACCAAGAAGAAAAACACGACAGTTCTAAAGATGAAATTGGTTTAAATTTAAAACAAGAATTTGACGCTTGCAAAAAAGATCCATCTGGAAAATCCACGCCAGATTTAACACCAAAAAACTTGTCTGGACAATCCACCCCCGAAATTAAAGGAGAAACTAAAGGATCCTCTGGAAAATCAACTCCAGATTTAAAAGGCAAAGATACAATGGAACAGGCTAAAACTGATACTGATAAACTATCTGGAACTTCGACACCTGATGTAAAAGAAACATTGTCTGGCAAATCTACACCAGATAATAAAGATGCCTCAAGAAAGCCATCCGTGGATATTAAATATCTTGTTTTAGATGAAAAAGAAACTAAAGATCCTAAATCAGAAATTGTGAAAGAAGTTGAAGATATTAAAGATACAGTCGCCGAAATTAAAGATGAAATTAAAGACACAAAATCTAAGGTCACCGAAGAAATTAAAGATACAGCTGCCGAGACATCAATTGACATTAAAGATAAAGCTGCAGAAATCAAAGCTGACATCGCAGAAGCAAAATTTAAAATAACCGAAGACATTAAAGATACGAAATCAGAAATAGTGGAAGACATCAAAGATAAAGTCGCAGGAATTAAAGAGGAAATCAAAGAAGTTAAATCAGAAGTAAAAGAAGTAATTGAGGAGACTGGTGGATTTTTCAGTAAACTTGGATCTTCTATTAAATCTGCATTTAGCAGTAGCAAAGAGGAAATAGAAACTGTTGCGTCAACCATTACAGAATCGGTAGATAAAGATATAACAGAAGTAAAGGATGAAATCAAAGATGCATCAAGAAAGTCATCTATGGTTTCAGAAATTAAAGGTGAAATTAAAGATTTCAAAGAAGAAATAAAAGATGCATCCAGAAAATCATCCATTGATGTTAAAGATCAGGTTGCAGAAAATAAAACAGAAGCAAAATCTGAAGTTGAAAAAGAGGTTGACGATGTAAAGGAAGTTCTTGAAGCTTCTTCTAGAAAGGCATCAATTGATATTAAAGAAAAAATTGCAGAAATACAAGAAGAAATCAGAGAAGCAAAATCTAAAGTTGAAAAAGTAGCCGATGATATAAAAGAAGATATTAAAGAAACATCTGAAAAGGCGTCAATTGACATACAAGACAAAGCAGACAGTATAGGGGATGATATTAAAAATACAAAAACTGAAATAATAGAAGACATTAAAGATAAAGTCGCAGACATAAAGGATGAAATCAAAGAGGCCAAATCAGAAGTAAAAGAGGTAATTGAAGAGACGGGAGGATTCTTTAGCAAACTTGGATCATCAATTAAATCTGCATTTGGAGGTAGCAAAGAAGAAATAGTAGAGGAAGTAAAGGACGCATCAAGAAAGTCATCGATTGGTGTTAAAGACATGATTGCAGATATCAAAGAAGAAATTAAAGATTTTAAAGAAGAAATTAAAGATACATCCCGGAAGTCGTCTATTGATATCAAAGACAAGGTTGCAGAAATAAAAGAAGAAATTAAAGGAGCAAAATTCGAAGTTGAAAAAGAGGTTGAAGAAACAAAAGATGCATCCATAAATGCATCTATTATCATTAAAGACAAAATTGCAGAAATAAAAAAAGAAATAAAGGGGGCAAAATCTGATGTTAAAAAAGACGTTAAAGATATAAAGGAAGATATCGAAGATTCTTATAGAAAGGCATCAATTAATATTGATGATAAAGTTGCAGAAATCAAAGAAGAAATTATGGGAGCAAAATCTGAAGTTGAAAAAGAAGTTGAATATGTAAAGGAAGACATTAAAGATGAATCCAGAAAGGCATCAATTGATATAAAAGATAAGGCAGCAGAAATTAAAAAAGAAATTGCAGAAGCAAAATCCAAAATGGCAGAAGATATTAAGGATTCAGCATCCGAAATTTTAGACAACATCAAAGATTCTTCCAGAAAGTCTTCAATCGACGTTAAAGATAAGGTTTCCGAAATCAAGGAAGAATTAAAAGAGGCTTCAAGAAAGGCTTCAATCGATATTAAAGATGAAGTTTCAGAGTTAAAGGAAGAAATTAAAGAATCTAAATCAGAAGTTAAAGAAGTCATTGAAGAAACCGGTGGATTCTTTAGCAAACTTGGAACATCCATAAAATCTGCATTTGGTGGTAGTGACGACAAACTGGAAGCCACTGCTACAGAAATAAATGATGAAGTTAAAAAAGAAATAAAACCAATTGAAACAGTAGAGGAAGTTATTGAAGCACCGACAAAAATTAGTAGTTATTCCTTGGAAGCAACTTCAGACACTGCTACTCATAAACCAAGAAGTCTGGAAGAAAGCGATATTTTAAAAAACCTCGAATCAATGATTGTAACGAATATTGATGAAGAAGTTTCCTCACCAAAAATTAGAAGCAAAAGAGAAATAAAGTTGGAATCACCCAAGGCCGATTCGCCTCCATCAAAATGCGAGGAGCCAATTTGCAAAAAGGTTGAAGTTAAACCACTTATTGATGACTTTGATATATTAAACACCATTGGATCAGCAATTGGAGGTATTATTGGCGATACCAAGGATGCCATAGAAAAATGTGCCACTGATTTCAAGGACACTATTGAACATGAGACCAAAGAATTGGGTAATACGATACAAAAAGCTGTTCACACTGCCGAAGAAACAAAAACTAACGTCGAGAAATTTTTGGACGATAAGAAAACGGAAATTGAGACCGAAGTCACCGAAAAAATTGCTGACATCGATGGAAAAATTAAAGATACAGTTCAAATTACAACTGATACCCTAACACAAGTCAGTTCAACTGTCGAAACAAAAGTGGAAGATACCAAGAAGGAAATTGAAAAAAGCGCTCATGAAATGAAGGACACCCTTGAAACAAAACTATCTGAATCAGTACAATCAACTGTTTCCACTATAGAACAAAAACTGACAGAAGTAAAAACCACAATAGATGACAACAAAGCTGTCTACGAAAACACTGTTTCCGATATTCAGGGAAAATTAAAGGAAACTGCTGAAAAAACAGACAGTTTTATCGACCAAATCGGCACAAACTTAAAAACTAACATTAAAGATGCCACAGCAGGGTTGGAATTAAAAAACCTCTTGGACGATGGAAAGAATAAGATTGCTACCTCAGCTGAAGCTACTAAGTCAGTTGATGAGAAAGTAGATGATAAACTTTCCGAAACTAAGGAGTCCTTAGAAGACAATAAACCTAAAGACGAAATTAAACCAGACGATTTAATCGGAGCACTTGGTAGAGAAATCAAAGACGAAATCGAAGAGAATAAAAAGGAATTGGAAAATAAATCTTCTGGTGTACAAGAAATTGTAGATCAAGAATCTGATAAAATTGCTTCCGACCTGAAAGAATCTGTGGCCGATAAAGTTGAAAGCGTTGAACAAGTAGCCAAAATAAAGGAATCTGAAAAAACCAAAAAGGAAGAAATAAAGGAAACAGTTGAGGAGGCAAAAGAAAAAGCTGATGGATTATTAAGCAACATCGTTTCTGCAGTGGGTCATGCAATTGATGGGGTCCAGAAAGATATCGAGGAAAAAACTACTGACTTAAAAGGTACTATTCTAGAAACTGAAATCACCGTTAAAGAAAACGCTATTGATAAAATTGAAGATATTAAAGCGCAAGATAAAGAAACCAAAGAAGAAGCTCCAGGTCTCTGCAATGCAATAGACTCTAAAGTAGACGAAAAATGCAGAATCGTAATCGATAAGCTGGAAGATGCATTTGAACTTAAAGTCGATGATGATGAACCTTTAGTAAACGGACAATTGGAACAAATTCAAGAGGGTGCAGTTAGTTTGAGAAAAATGAGCGAAGCTTTGGATAAAACGATAAATGAGTTCGCCAGCAAACTTGAAGCTGAAGCTAAGGAGACAAAAGAAGCTACCCTTGAAACTGCGTCAAATGTGGAAAGCAAGATTGAAGAGGCGAAAAAAGATGTAGAAGCCAAGGTTGATGATATAAAAGAATCGTTGGAAACAAAAGTAAGTACAACCAAAGAACAGGTTAAAGATACTATTGATGCAAAGACATCCGAGTTAAAGGAGGAAGCAAAATTAGCGCTGGATAAATGTGAAGATACAGTAAAACAAGTGGAAGAAGTGGTTTGCGAGAAGGTAACTTTAGCCAAAGATCAATGTGATAAAGCTGTTAGTGATATAACTGATACAGTTCAAAAACAAACTTCCGATGTAGAAGTTGAATTATCCGATACGGCTGCCAAAGTAGAGAGTAGTATTAAAGAAAAATTCGATGAGGTTGATGACAAACTAGCCGAAGCAACTAAAAAAGTGGGTGACACTCTTGAAACTGCATCTGATATGACCAAATCTTTCTATGGTAAACTAGAAGATGAAGTTGGCACTGTTAAAGAAAAGATTGGCGAAGAAAAGGACAAGGTAGAAAAAGCTGGCGAGCATGTTGTGGAGGAAATTAAGGATGTATTTCACAGTGTGGGCGATATGGCAAAATCAATATTCTCTTCCAATGAAGCCGAAAAAGCCATAGAAAAATCTGCTGACGGTCTTACAAAAACCTTTGATACCATGACGGACATGTCCAAATCTGTGGTGTTCGAAAAATGCGATAAAGAACCAGAACCAATATCTCCTGCTGAATTAAAACAAGCGTCTGAAAGTATTGAAAAAACGGCTGATGATATAACCAGTGCATTTGATGCTGTTACGGATATGACCAAGTCTGTTATTTTCGATAAAATGGAGGATTTGGATAAAGCCAGTAAGACAGTGGAACGAGGTGCCAAAGATATTTCGGACACTTTCGAAACTGTTACTGATATGTCAAAGTCAGTGATCTTCGACACTGTAGGAGATTTAGAAAAAGCCAAAGATGTAGTAGAAAAATCCGCGACTGACTTGGCTGAAACTTTCGATTCAATATCCGATATGAGTAAATCCATTCTCTTCGATAAGTGCGAGGGAAAGGATGCAGGTAAAGCGTCTTCGGTGGTTGAAGAATGCGTGGAAAAATGTGATAAATCCAAGGTAATCAAGGATCAAGTAGATAGCGTATGTAGCCTGGATAAAAAGACTGATAAAATAGAAACAGGAATTGAAAGTAGCATTGCAAGTAACGAAAATATGTTGAACGTTGCGCAAAACGACGCAAAGAAACTATCGATATCCGATGTTGAAATATCCTTAGGTGAAGCAAAGGATGATGATATTAGCAAAAGCCCCAAGCAATTAAGCGGCAAATCTACACCGGACAGTAAACTTGAATCACATATCCATGATATTCCACCTGTGCCTGTAAGTCCTCTCGCTAAAGACATGAAGAAACCTGCTAACGAAGTCGTTTCGGCCATAAAAGATGATACTAAAGATATTAGAAGTTACACCCCTGGCAGTGACGACTACGAAATACCATCAGCACATAGCGGTATTTCTTCAAGTCAATTTTCAGAAAAAATCGAAAGCGACGATGAAGAAATCCCCGGTTCGCCACAGAGCATGACGTCACAAGTGGCTCATTCGCAGTCATCTTCTCACTATGACTTTGATGAGGATGCTAATAGGATATCCACAAAAATGGATCCTATGAACATGTCGTTCTACGGGGCTCTACCAGACGAGCCTGAACAACCTCCACCAACTTATTTGTATGAGATTACCAAAGCCAAAGTGAGCAGTCAGGTTAAAGAAGATGATAATAAAGTGATAGAGAAGGTAGATAGCAATATACAATTAGATGAAATGAATAAAAATGGCGCGCAGGGCGGTAGCAGTCTTATGACCGCTAGCTTTATGGGTGAGCTACCAGCAGATGAAACTAAAGATGAAAAAGATGAAAAAGACCCTATTGCTTCTTGGGGTAAACCATTGGGATTACCAAGCCCTGCACCGCCAGATAACAAAGGCACTCCCAAGAAGGAGAAGAAGTTACCACCAAACGTAACCGCTAAAAATAAGTTGAACGATGACAGAAAACGATCGGAATCGCCGTCGAAATATAGAAATAAGAGGCTGAATCCTGTTTACGTTGACTTGACGTATGTGCCCCATCATGGAAACTCCAACTATTCCTACGTGGACTTTTTCAAGAGGGTCAGGGCGAGATACTACGTTTTTTCGGGTATTGAACCGAGCAAAGAAGTTTACAACGCTTTGTTGGAAGCCAAACAAACTTGGGAAGACAAAGACTTAGGTAAGTACAATAATAAGGTTGCCATTTATGTTTCAATAATAAAGAACAAAAACCAAATTTTATTAGCAAAAATTTTCGTATCACTTGTTCCACTCCATGGAGTGCCTGAACGAAGTTTTAGTCACATAAAAATGCCGCCAAAAACTGATTGCAGTTTCTTGTTCGGGACCCTTTGGTGACTTAAAAATGATATTTACCAAAATCCTAGCTGCTCCTCTTTTCGAATTTTTTTAAAAATTCATGATTTTTTTTTAAATTTTTGTTTATTTCAAAGTCTACCTTTGACAGAGTACACATTTGTACACCGATTTTTATAAAATTAGAGTATATTATTGAGGAGACTTAAAGAATACTTTTTAATACTGTTCACATCATTTGATATATACAGGCCCTGTATTACAGGGTGAGCCAAAAATCGCTTATTTTTAATAAAGCAAAAGCGTAAATTCATGATTTTGGCATAACACGCAAAAAAGATTTATCCCCATTTTTTTAGATATTTCTATGTTTATCAGGTTAAAAAATGGCATTCTTATTAACCTTTTATAAAAAAAATACTTTTTTAATAAAATTAAATAAAATATCGCATAGCGAATATTTAAAATGTTGTTTAATTTAGGCTTTTCAGTAGTTTTCAATTTTGAACGAAAAACTGGTTAAAGTATTTTGATCGGCACTCTTTGGAGATTTAAAACGATATTTACCAAAATTCTTACCTGTTATTTTTTAATTTGTTAAAAAATATTAAATTATTTGTTTGTCGCAAAGGGTACATTTGCCAGAGTACACATTTGTACACCGATTTTTATTGATTGCAGTTTTTTGTTCGGGACCCTTTGGTAACTTTAAAATGATATTTATCAAAATCCTAGCTGCTCCTATTTTCGAAATTTTTTGAAAATTTTTTTTTTTTTTAATTTTTGTTTATCTTACCTTTGACAGAGTACACATTTGTACACCGATTTTTATAATATTGGAGTATATTGTTAACGAGACTTGGAGAATACGGTTTTCATACTGAGCACATCATTAGATTACATGGTTAGCCAAAAATCACTTTTTTATATAGTAAAAAGCATAATGCACAAAAAAGATTTTTATCCAAAAAATGTTATTTTATTTAATTTTATTCAAAATCAATTTTTCTTATAAAGTCTTAACAAGAATCCTATTTTGTACCCTGATAAACATAAAAATATCTAAAAAAACATGCGTGTTATGCCAAAATCATGAATTTACGCTTTTGCTTTATTAAAAGAAGCGATTTTTGGCTAACCCTGTATATATTAAATGATGTGCACAGTATAAAAAAGTATTCTCCAAATCTCCTTAACAATATACTTCAATATTATAAAAATCGGTGTACAAATGTGTACTCTGTCAAACGTAGACTTTAAGATAAACAAAAATTAAAAAAAAAAAACATGAGTTTTCAAAAAATTTCGATAAGAGGAGCAGCTAGGATTTTGGAAAATATCATTTTTAAGTCACCAAAGGGTCCCGAACAAGAAACTGCAATCAGTTTGTGGCGACATAAAAATGTGACTTAAACTTCGTTTAGGCACACCCTGTCCGATTTAGCAATTTGAAGAACTTTAGTTTAGTTTAGTTGAGACTGCTGTTTGCAAATGGATTCATATACATGATTCCAAGCTTTTAGCGCATCGCGTTGTAGATTTCTTTGAACCAATCGCACGAGAATGTTTTAATTGATTGTCAAATTATAACTTGGCGAATACCTTTTGATGTAATATTTATATGGATAAGGCTTCCTGGTGAATACCAAGGGTCAGAATTTAACAGAAGAGAATAACAATTTTTCTCTATGACTTCACATAAATTTCATAAAAAAATATTCACTTGTTTATTTTTTATAAACAATCAACCTTTTTAGCAGTGCTTTCTTTAAAAAATTGTTTCAATGATTTTTTTGTAAATCGATAATAAATTTTTCTACAATACTTTTTTCCTTTAACAAATATTACATTAAATTTAATTTTGAAGTCCTGTCGGGTTTATGTGATATTTACGAGATTATTACGTACATTTTGAATTAAAAAATTGGGAGATTGAAGTTGCTTAATTGCTGCTAATTATTTTGTTCGTTCGGGCGCACCCCAAGCAGAGCGCTTTCATAAATTATACGTTTTAAATTATTCAATGAAGGTTTCTTCAAAACAAAAAATGGGAATGATTTACAAAAAAAATCATTGAATTTGAACAACGCATTGCTGAAAACTGTGATTGTTGATAAAAAATAAATAAGTGAATATTTTTTAATAAAATTTATGTGAAGACTTTGTTTTGAAAAAAATTGTTATAAAATTCTGATCAATTATAATTGAGGTCTGTCATAGCAAAACCGGCAATCTCCACTTTTGGTCAAAAATTATTTTTGGCGGAGACTGTACTTCAACTAATTATCTGAGGAGTGATTTTTCAAACGGTCGTATTTCCATTTGCAACAATTTTTCAAAAAAATTACTATAACCTGTATAGGTTAGGGCAATATAGATTATTTTAAAAAAATTCTGATTAATATTTAATAATACTTCAGACCTGCTGTCATATTTCGCCGTTAATATATGCCTTTCAACCATACCTTTGAGATTTTGTCAAAAAATTACATTCAATTAAAAATGGAAATAAGGGCTTTTGAAAAATCACTCCTCATCTATAAGATGATAAAGTTTATGTGCTGCAAAAGGAGCTAAATCCTGCCTAAAATCCTATTTTAAAAATGGCATTTAGTGCAAAGTCGACAATCTCCACTAATAGATTTGCAGCAAAGTATACAATCTCCAATTCCACCATTAGAAATTATTAATTTGTGTCACCTGATATCCTAACATTTGATGTTATAACGTATTTTAGAGATTTAATTTTGTGTTTTTTACTGGTACATACTGTTAAGTTCTATTGCAGTAAATGGCACTTAAAAATATATTTAAAATAGGTATATACACGTTTCATTGTTTTAAGAATTATAAAAAAAGTTATCTTGTTTATTTTGTGCTATTATACCATAATAAGACGTGAGTTGTTGTACTATATAAACTTTACACGAGGCAACCTGGTCCCAGATTTAGAAGAAACTCCAGATTTATGCATACATGTAGTCCAGTTCAGAATTTTCCCACATTGATTGTATAGTTAAATTTTATAACCTTGAAAGGAAAAAAAATACAATTATTTTTTTTTGTTTATTTTTCTAAATCTCCTTAAACGTTTACAACAAAATGAGCAATCTCCAGCAATTCATATCAAAGTCAGCAATCTCCAATTTATAATTATATGCATCCTGGAGACCTTGTAGTTTGCTACTAGACTAACAACAACAATATTTCAAAATAATATATAAAAAAAATTACAAATCTAGAATTTAAAATACCAAAATCAATTATCTCAATTTACTCAGTTTTAGTCTGACGGGAGATTGTTAACTTTGCTCTGACAGGCCTCAATTATTTTTAGGTCGAATCCAGGTCAGCACGTATATTTTGTAGAACTTTTGGACCTTTCCTCTAACTTGGTATAATGTTAAATTCTCTGTATTTATAAATAATTTTTCTTGCAGAAGTGACAATTATTCCGACTTATGACACCGATATTTTGGGTTATTGGGTGGCCGAAAACGAGGAACTCCTGACCAAATACAAGATCGATCTTTCGCCGTCAGCCAGTCGTTGCACCATCAATTTGCAAGATCACGAGACATCCTGTTCAGCTTACCGTCTGGAATTTTAAATCGGTTTCGATTGAAACAAATTTTAATTTTTTTATTTTAATCAAACCAAACAAAACAACTCCCCTTAATGAATAGGCGACGGCTTTGATGCCACAACGAAATTAGACAATTTCGAAACGTCCATTTTACTTCGCCAAGGTATAACGTGTCTCTTCCCTGTTTATACCTCTTTAACCTAAATTAATGTTACGAACGGTCTTCATGAAACCAAATAACTCAATTAACTAGACTAGAAATAGTTATTGTTAAAATCACCCCCTTAAAATTTTAGACTGGTTCCAGGAGAACAAAGTTAGGGCATTTTAAATTTCAAATAATTTAAATGTTGTTAAAAAATGCTTCGTCATCAATGATTCTCTGGAGGAATCATTGACGATGGCACTTGTTACACATGGAAATATGTGTAAACTTAGAATTATTAAGTAAGCTATCAACATCATGGCTAGAGATCGCGGGAAGTAATTTAATAGCCTGCATTAACCGAAAACCAATTTCCATAGACAATCTACTCCACTAACTCACCGATACTTTAATACTTGTGCAGTTTTCGGCCAACAATTAAATCTTAAGTGCGCGTTAATGCTTTCGCTATTCAATTATTTCTGTTGCTTTATATGTATTATTATACCTACCTAATATAATCTAATGTGATACCCCTAGTTTATGTTAGCAATTTGATGTCCCCTAAACGGCTGGTTTTATGTACTGCCTCGTGTGGCCGTTTCTGTTTTAAGCATTTTGATACAGACACGCTTTTAGACTCACCATGCCAAAGCAATTCTTTCTAAGTTATTTATTTTTCGTTTCGCGTGCAATATATTTATTGATAATGTTAGTGTACTTATTTATTCAGCCAAATTCGTTTTCATTCAATAACTATGTTTGTTGAGGCCTATAAGATACGAGATGCTTAAGGTGTGATTGGTATTATATTAAATTTTATAGTATAATTTAGTCAGTCCTTGTTATTTTTTGAGTTCAGATTATTTCGACGGGCTTGTGATTTTGATTTCGCATTGGTTAATAAACTGTATACGTGTTAAGTTAAATAGATGAGGGGCCACTGAAAACGAAATGAAAAATTCTCTGAACTCGAAAATGGGACGAAATGAGGCAAAATTGAGCTTGTACTTAGTACGCAATAAAGATATTGTTAACTAAATATGTAAGTATGGTGCTAACAGAGTATGCCTTGAAGGTTTTTCTAATTATGGCGAAGTGCGTCATCTGGAAAGTAGATATAAAAAAATTGAATTCGAATGTCCGTTAGAGGAATAAATTCAGTATAAATCAATGGAAGAATTTGTTTATCAAAGTCAATGGTTTTGCTTTTATTTAACGCACATGTACAACCAATGATTTCTACTGAATTCCATTTTCTGAGAGAGTCACTTTATATTTATGTTAAAACATGAAAACATCTAACGTTACTTGCAGTTTCACTTTAAATTAACTACATATATATTAAAGAAAACATATAGCTTCTAGTCAAAAATTTGATCTTTTAGCTTAAAATGTTATAAAAGTTACATATATTCAATCGCAATTAATGTATGGGATATGTATGAAAAAATAAATTTTAAAAATAATCCAAGTATTTTATTTATTAATCTATAATAGTTCAGTCTAAAAAAACGAGTAATGGAGAAATATAAAGGTAGATCAATAAGTCCTCACAAAATTAAAGAGATTTTTCCTGATAATTGCAATATTGGTAGATTTCAGCCATAGCTTAGCTTTTTACAAAATACACAAATTATTATTTTTTTAATTTTAAGTTTTTAATAATTTTTAGAAATTTCGATTTTTTTGAAATTTTTTAATATTTTAACAATTTTGGAAAATTTGAAATTTTTTAAAATTCCACAAATTTGTTACCGTTTTTTACTCGTCATACCCTTTCATTTGATACTTAATGTCAATCGTCGGCCGCCATATTGAATTAATATTATATAATAGCATAGCAATACAAAATAATAATAATAATAATAATAATAGTTTATTAGCATCATACATATAAAAAATTGTAAATTAAAAAAAATTAAAAGTTTGAATTGAAAAATGATGGGGTTCGGAGAGTGGTTTTCGTTTCTCTTATCCAAAGAATGCCTTTTTGCGTTTACAGAATGTTTAGATTGATTCAGGTTTTTTTTAATATCGATTTTAAGTTTTATTAATTTTGGAACCCGAAAACCCGTTATTTATTAATTTAAACTAAAACAAAAAAAATGATGGGGTTCTGAAAGTGGTTTTCGTTTCTCCTATCCAAAGAATGCCTTTTTGCGGTTACAGAATGTTTAGATTGATTCATTTTTTTTTTTAATATCTATTTTACGGTTTATTAATTTTAGAACCCGAAAAACCGTTATTTATTAATTTAAACCAATTAACTGGTAGGAAATTGTTGTCATAACAATAAATTAAAAAGAAATAATAAAAAAAACAAAAATTAAAATGGGTGTAAACATGTCACTAAAAGTACATTTGCTCCATGCACATCTTGCCCTGTTTGAAAATCAGCTGTCCACCGAATCAGAAGAGAATCAAACAATAATGGAAATGGAAAATCGTTATAGAGGAAACAGGTTTGATTCGATGTTGGCACATTTTTGTTGGTCTATGGCAATGGAAATTTTGGCATAAAATTATAAATAAAATTTGTTACACCTATCTTTTATGTTGATCCATTCTATTTGTTAAAAAGAATATGTTTTTAATAATTAATTTAATAATAATAATATTAATTACCATAATTATTATTATGGTAGAAGCGAAAGAACTAAGAAATTGCTCTACAACATATTAAATCCAGAAAAAGGTTCAATTTTTTAAAAAATTTGCATCCTATTGTTCTCATTATTTTTTTCTTTATTTGATTGTTATTACTTTATAAAACAATATACAAAACCAATAGTTATCTTTTAAGACTAATTATTTATTATTTTTTAAATTGATATTAAAAAAAAAACAGAATCAATCTAAACATTCTGTAAACGCTATAATTCATGATTTTGATTGTAGAAACCGAAAATACTTTCAGAACCCCATTATCTTAATTTTTTCCGAAAATGTTGCACAGTGAATTTGTATTGTTAATAACAATATAAAATTACTTAACTTATATATTACTTAACATTGCCTCTGTGCGTGGTTTGCTTTTTGAAATCGATTTAAGCTAAATATATACTAAAGATTTTATAATTGAAAGAAAAAAAATATGAAAATGTCAAAAAAAAATTAAATAAAAAAAAATTAGTTTTATAAATTTAGTGAATTAAAAAAATGGAAATTTTAAATTTTTTTAAAATCCAAAAATTTCACAAATGTGTCACTTACCAAAATATTTGAATTTTAAAATTTTAAGCGATTTTAAGAATTTCGTAATTTATAAAAAATTTAAATTTTGTAATGTTTTACATACAAATTGTTGGAATTTTAAAAAAAGTCTACTCGTCATACCCTTTTATTTGATACCCATATGTCATGTCAAGGAGGTTGTAAAGAAACAGGCAATCCTATTGGATTAATTTATTTATATTTCTCTCTTACTTATGCACAGCCCCTCATTTATAACGCCACGACATACAAGCAAATATGATCCCCTCTACTTTTACTCGTGTCCAATCTTACTTGTATCCATTCTCTTAAACAGCCAACTTCATGGTGTGGAATTTTTGTTATCTGCTACAATTTTACTCACAACTTTAATAAAATGAATCAACCCAAAAAATGTGTTTTTGTAGTGTTTTGTCAGGACTTATTGACCCTCGTTAAACAGGTAAATATCACAATAGAAGAAAATGAGCGCGACTAAATAATAATAAATAATGGAATTCAATGAAATTAACGCTGCAATCTACAATCTAGTATCGTCGGGCATTTTTTCAAAATACGCTATTTTGCCTTCATCCACTTTATAATCGTGAATCCACCTACTGCCTTTTCTCAAGCTATCGTCTATGCCATCCCTCCAAACTCCGGCCGGTAAGTAAACTTCCCTCTGTCTTGCTCCAGCATACAAAACCGGAGCCACAATAATTTCATCTCCAATCAAGAATTCGTCCACAACTGTGTGACAGGCCGGGTCGTTGGAATCCAGCATCCATAACGGCCGAATTATGGGCAAACCAAAGTTTATCGCTTCTTTTGAGAACTTCTTCAGCAGTGGAGTTATCTGTTTCAACCAAATATTAAAATAAAAAAGTTACCCTTGTGGAAATTTTTCTCTGAAAAAGTAAATAAGAGTTTTTAAAGTCTTACTTTCTCTTAAAATGTCTAAATAATACTTATTAAGTCGGAAAAAGTCTGAATAAGTCTTACTAAGTCAGACTAATAACAAGATTTGCGAGTCTTCTGGAAGAGTTAATAAGACTTTTAGCAGAGGAGTGGTAGGAACCTAACTTAAGCGATTAAAATAAATATCCGGAATTTTTCAGAGATGTTGTATTTGATTATTATAAAATAAAACACAAAGAAAAGTATTTATTAGCATTTTGTCGGGGTGGTACTAATGGCTTAAGCCAAGGTGTAATAATTATAACAATTAAAATTTTTTACATACGATGCGCTTGACTTGCTTTTATTGTTGCCACTGTACTGTTTTATTTTAATAGTTTCTTTTTATACGCAAATATTCATCTAACCATTGTTCCAAACACTTTTTACAGAGGCTTGTTTCTGACTTTCTAGACACTATATCGATTTTCTCAGCTGACCAATTAGAGCACAGCTGATCTGTCATGTGATGGCATCTTCCCGCGTTTTCAAGATAGCTCTCACCAATTGTTGCCGTTTGCGGGTATTTTCGATGAATTTCAATCGCAAATAACTTTTTTATTTATAACGATTATTAAAGAATATTGTAGATAAAATAATTGACAATCACTCACAATTTATAAAATTACTAAAAAATAGACGTACGTTTATAATATACAGGTTTAAACAAAAAGATGTTTTTTACCATAAGTTTAAGACACTCTGTAGAGTTGCAAAACCGTATATTGTTCTAAATTAAGTTTTATTTATCAAGTCACATCTATTCTTAACAGTTTTGTTTTTGGTTCACCTCGATATATTTATTTTTGTGGAAAATATGGATTTTTTAAAAACATTGCAATTTCCAATATTTTTCTGTATGAAGAACTAAGGTTGCTATGGTCCATCCATATGCTATGGAGAATGACAGTGACAGTTTTGTTGAATCATCCCATACTTGGACATATACACGGCTTTCAAAAGCTATCAAATTGTTTTTTGCAAATTAATGTTTAAATTTTGAGGTGTCTTCTCACTTTAAAAAATGGATATGTCCCCGACTGATGTTGCCAGAGCCATTAATTTAATCCAGGATGGACGGTCACAGTATTACGTGGCAAGTGTTTTAAACGTCACAAGAAGTAAAGTACAAAGGGCAACATCAATCGGAGACATTTTTAAAAGTAAGAAGACACCTCAAAATTAACACATTAATTTACAAAAAACAATTTGATAGCTTTTGAAAGCTGTATATGACATATCCATGTATGGGATGATTCAACAAAACTGTCACTGTCATCTTCCATAGCCTATAGGCTATGGATGGACCATAACAAACTTTATACAGGAAAAATATTGGAAATTGCAATATTTTAAAACAAAATCCATATTTTCCACAAAAATAAATATATCAAGGTGAACAAAAAACAAAACTGTTAAAAATAGATGTGACTTGATAATTAAAACTTAATTTAGAACAATATACGGTTTTGCCACTCTACAGAGTGTCTTAAACTTATGGTAAAAAATATATTTTTGTTTAAACCTGTATATTATAAACGTACGTGTATTTTTTAGTAATTTTTAAAATGTGAGCCATTCTCCATTAATGTTTCTACAATATTCTTTAATATTTGTTTATATCCGAAATCAAATAAAAAAGTTATTTTCGATTGAAATTCATCGAAAATTTGTGTGGATCGATTATTTTGCCTGTGAGTGTATTTTCAGTAAAAAATATTGTATTTTTACTAAAATTAAATAATTATTTTATTCTATATAGGATATCCTGTTATATTTTTATTTACTTATATTAAAATTTGAATTAATTTAATTATTTTTTTTACAAGGCGAATGCGCTAGTAAATTTAAAATATAAGTAGTTTTTTTAGTACCTATTTTTTACTTTTTGGTCGGGAACTTTTATGACATTCATCCGGCAACACTGTATAAAAACATGAAGATCAACCAATTTGTTTTATGAGTTTTATAAGTTCGACTGTCTACCATATCACGCCTATGCGTTACGAATAATTGTTATTGTTATTATACCTTATATATGTACTTAATCAACAAGGGATCTATATGTACACAAACCAAACGGGAGATACGTTTGGTTTGTGTACATATAGATCCCATGGTTGCAACTGTTTTATTCAATTAAAATAAAGTTTGTTTACCTATATTGTAAACATTGCTTATAAAAACAGAAAAACAGTCCCTTGTGGAAATTTTTCTGAGAAAGTCTTACTTTCTCTGAAAAAGTCTGAATAATACTTATTAAGTCGGAAAAAGTCAGAATAAGACTTATTAGGGGAGTCTTCTGGAAGAGTTAATAAGACTTTTTATGACTTAATAAGACTTTTAGTAGAGAAATGGTAGGTACCTATGGCGATAAAAATAAATATCCGAAATAATTCATAGAGGTTGAATTTGGTTATCGTAAAATAAAACACATAGAAAGGTATTTATTAACATTTTTGCTGTTGTTATAAGCCAAGTTTATTGCATAATTACCTATATAATAACATAGGTAAGATGTAATAATTATAACAATTATAATTTTATACATACGATGCGCTTGAGATGCTTTCATTGTTTCCATCATAGAAAAAGGAGTTAATATCATGTCTATAGACATGATATTTTCGATAGACTCATAAGACAAATATGGTTGATCTTCGTGTTTCATTCATCTTTGTATCATGGTTGATCTTCGTGTTTACGTACAGTGTTGCCATAAAAGTTCCTGACCATAAATTACAAAATACTAAAATAATAATAAAAATGTAACAGGATAGAATAAAATAATTGTGCATATTTAGTAAATATACAATATTATTTACTGAAAATTTATTTTCTTATTATTTTGATAGAAATTTGCAAATCACCCGCAAATATTACGAAAATACCCAATTTTCGAGTAAAATACTTGCAAACGGCAACACTGTGTCCCACTGACAGGTCAGCTGTGCTCTAATTGGTCAGCTGGTCTCTCGATATTTTGTTTGTAACAATGTTTAGATAGGTAAATATTTGCGTGTATCAAAAGAAACTATTAAAATAAAACGTACAGTGGCAACTCCTCTTTCTATGGTGGAAACAATGAAAGCATGCATGTCAAGCGCATCGTATGTATAAAATTATAATTGTTATAATTATTACATCTTACCTATGTTATTATATAGGACCTATATTATAGGTAATTATGCAATAAACTTGGCTTAACAACAGCAAAAATGTTAATAAATACTATTCTATGTGTTTTATTTTACGATAACCAAATACAATATCTATGAATTATTTCGGATATTTATTTTTATCTCCGTAGGTACCTACCATTTCTCTACTAAAAGTCTTATTAAGTCTTAAAAAGTCTTATTAACTCTTCCAGAAGACTCCCAAATCTTGCTATTAGTCTGACTTAATAAGACTTATTCAGACTTTTTCCGACTTAATAAGTCTTATTCTGACTTTTTCCGACTTAATAAGTATTATTCAGACTTTTTCAGAGAAAGTAAGACTTTCTCAGAGAAAAATTTCCACAAGGGGTGTTTATAAATCCTTTTCATTGTGCTTTTTTTTGAAATAACCAAATACAACATCTATGAATAATTCTGGATATTTATTTTAATTGCTATAGACTCCCTAATCTTGCTATTAGTTTGACTTACTAAGACTTTTTCCGACTTTTTAAGAGAAAGTAAAACTTTTAAAACTTTTCCAGAGAAAAATTTTCACAAGGGTAAACTTAAAATGTTACCTCTTTTAGCCTAAAAGATGTCAGCTGAGTGGCCATGTCCAAAACCTTACTGTCGCCATAAGACCCAGGGAAATTCTTGTACCTTACGACCGGCAAAAATGTCGATAATTGCAACCACCTTATGTACAACTCCTGATCTGGCATCAACTCATCGGTATTATTATTGTATATGGAAATTTCCGGTAGCCCAAAATCACCTCCAACAGCCCCGGGGATGATGAAAGGAAACCCAAGAATCCCGTATGTCAAAATTGTAGGTATGACTCTTCTCAAACCATCCCAAGACGACTCGAAAGGCGGTAGGAATACAAACGCCGGGGGTTTGGGCCTTTCTACGGCACTATTTACTCCAAAAATACGTATGTTACCTTGCAAACTATTCACGAAAATAGTTTTGTATTTGTCAGGATTATTTAGAGCTTTCTCACACTGATAATAATGCGGCATATTGTAGGCCACACCCAAGTCCAGGAAGTATGAATTTATATTGTATTTCGTCATAACATTTTTCAGTTTTTTCAACATCCACGGAACAGTACGATTATTGGTAACATCCAGTACACCAGCGCTATGTAGCGTTTTGTACCTCGTTAAAGCTGGGATTCGTCTGTCACTATAACGCTCCGCCACAAGCAACCTTTTTTCAACCGCTTCGGCAAAATTGAAGCTCTCAGTGGAGATGTAAGGTTGGACTGATAAGACTATGCGAAAACCACGTCTTTGCAGCATTTCTATCGTTTTATCCAACGTTGGAAATCGGTTGTCGTCTACTTGGAAATCTCCCACATGTTCTTGCCAGAATTCGTTGATCAGAACGTGACCCATTTTTAAAGTTGGTACTGAGATGACGTTGGCGGTGTAATTTGAAATAAGCTCTGCACAATAGAAAAACAGTGTTTTACGTATAACCAAAAATCCAAAATATTATACCTAACTCTTTTCTATAATATATGACATTATTTCTTCCTAAGAAGGCTTAATTTTATAAAAAATAAATTTATCCTAAAATTTCAAAGTTGGAAAAATGTAAAATAGAAAGCCTAGAAAAAATTACATTGGATATAATTAAAGCTAATTTTTTCTTATGTTCATCCAAAGAATGCTTAATCTTAATCTTAATCTTCTACCTACAGTATGTCCACATATGGGAATACAAAAAGGAAAAAATATTTTACATATTTCATTCTTGATAAAATTTTTGTTTCACAGCAAACGGAAAAATATAGAAGTGTATTGGATGACGCACAGTGTTTCAATTCTCGAAATTTTCGGCAAAATATCAAGGAGTAGTCGGATTCTCCTAAAAATCCGTATAAAGAGGTTTTTGGGGTCGCTGATAACGAATCAGAATTCCAAAATTCAAAATGGTAGATCCAAAATGGCGGACATATTTGTAAAAAAAATTGACGGAATTAATTGAAAATCACCATACAGGGGTTTTTGTGGTCGCTGATAATGAATCTGGAATCAGAATTCCAAAATTCAAAATGGTAGATCCAAAATGGCAGACATATTTGTAAAAAAATTGACGGAATTAATTGAAAATCACCATACAGGGGTTTTTGTGGTCGCTGATAATGAATCTGGAATCAGAATTCCAAAATTCAAAATGGTGTACCTTAAATGGCGGACATTTTTATCAAATAATTGCTTCGCGGGACAAAGATTTACTCTTTTTCGGAGCAAATTTTCTGAAGCTAGAAATATACGGATCGGAAGATGCCATAAGCCAATGGAAAACATCTTCCATCGTTTTCTCCGGAGAAACTTTCAAAATTTATTTATAAAATTTAAATATAACAGATTTTATAATAAGTATTTTGAATTTGTATTATTTCTTTTACTTAATATTTTAGCAACGATTTCTTAATTCGCTAAAAAAATTGTCAGTTAGTTGAGTTAAATCCGAGTAAATCGAGTAAACGTCATGAACGCAACCTAGAAATAAAAAAAATCTTATATTTTGTAAAGCAAAAACACAGATACGCGCGTAAATCGCGAGGTTTTTACCACAACCGTGCCTGAGCGCCCAAGTAGTTTTAAAGAGCCGAGGGCAAGTTGGGGCAGCTAATTTATTGATGGCTTGATAGACAAAACTCTAAGCTATTCAACGGATCTTGAACTGATGCCTTACAATTCATTACAATTTTTGTAGCTCCATTGTTCTAAAAGCTCGATTCAAAGTTTGCGATTTTAACAGGCCGATCTTGTCGGTTACAATATCCCGTTTTACAAGCAAAATCTACGAAAATCAAATACATATCTGAATTTTAGATACCTTGAAGATCACCCTTCATCAAAACGCATAACAATCGGACACACCAAACACAAGTTATTCACTTTTAAACAATAAACAATTTTCCGCAGCGATCGCGTGTAAAGTACCTTTAACTGAATGCGTCAAGTTTAAACTGATGTACAAGACAAAATATACGTATTTTATATGTTTTTTAATACAGAATGGAGACAGGTGTTAACTAACCATCTAACTCAAAATTTACCTAAAAAAAATGGCAATTTTTGAGGTTTTGCCGATATTTTCCAGAATTGAAACACTGTGTGTTTTCTAAACCCTCGCCACGGTATAGAGTTGTATTCGTCAGTCGAGTGTTTCAATACTCTCCACAGTATAGAGGTCGTAATTTGACTTTTGAACTAGTATTAATATGAAAATTATTTTATGCTTGAAAAGCCACCGTAAAACTTAAAATGTTAATCTACTTGTACTTTATAGGATTTTCAAAAGTAAAAATTAATAACATCAAAGGAGAATCCTCTAGAAATTTCTACCTACCGTAATAATTACATTCAATTGTTGAAAAGAAAATGTCAAATAAACGAAAACTGAACAAAAATGATTTTTATCAAACATTTTCAGAAAAATCAAAATTGCAATTCTGGGGCTTTGAAATCGAACAAAAACTTTATTAAGTGTGAAATTTTTTGGGAAATGTAAAAATTGTAAAATAGAAAGAATGGAAGAAATGACATCGGATATAATTGAAGAAAATAGTTTTTCATAACAAGGCGATCCCAAAAAAACTTACCTTCAGTAAATTCCTCCTTAGTTGCTGTAGTTATTTCCCACAGAGGCTCGCTAAACAAATTATTGATAACATCCATATCTTCCTTCTTCAAGCCATCCCACAACGTACTTTCAGTCAACTTGGAATGCAATTCCGACATGTTTGGACTCGCGCAAATCGTGTAATTCAACTCGGGCGTTTTCGTAAACTTATTAACATACGCAAAATCGTCGTACTTTGCTTTCAGGCACAACTCTTTCTGGGTATCGCCCGATACGGACACGTATAGTGGAGATTCGTTGTCTATCTGGATGGCGGCTCCTTTTGACGAGATGAAGTAACGCTTTAATACGTTGCCCCATTCGTGTTTATCCACTCTGCCAGTGATGAAGGGGTGGAAAGTGTGGTTTCCTTTTTCCAGAGGCCAGGCGTTCTCAGAGGTCTGTCCTCCACCATACCTAAAACGAATATTATGTTACATAATATGTAATATTATTATATGCACATAAAGTTTATTTTTTTTTATCTGGACTGCGGCAACGTTGCAAATTTAGGGTTTTGGTTGGGAAATACGGAACCAAAATTGGTTGCATTGATTAAAACAAACTAAACTATAATAGTTATAAATGTAATTGAATCGGTGAGAATAAGAACATTTTGTTTTGAATTCGAAGCAGCATCGAAGAAGTAGAAGAACATTTTAAAAATCGGCTTGTTAAGGTGTTTGTCAGAGTTAACTTTGAAGCATTGAGAATAAGAACAGTACAAGTCCTGGACTATATAATATAATATATAAAAACATGCTTTACCATATCGTGATGTTTTATTTTTTTTCTATTCTAAATCAAAATTCTAAAGATTATTAAAAGAATTCTGTGTCAAAATTTTATGGAAATTAAGAACATTACAAGTTTATTTTTTGTATATTATAAAGCATGCAGGTGGTAAAAAAAATAATTTTAGTTTAATGGACTCAAAATTCAAACATGTACTGTTCTTATTCTCACCGATTCAATTATATATAATATATATATATATATATATATATATATATATATATATATATATATATATATATATATATATTATATATTATAATGTGCAGTAAATTAAAAGGAAACGTCTTCGATGGCGTCATAATTTTGCGCACTAGTATCAATACTAAATGTATAAATCAAAGTCTGTAATTAAATATTTTAATGCATTTTAAACAACTTTAGTTGGCAGCAATTGCAATGTTGTCATGTTTAGATTAAAATTTTGCATAATAAAATGACGCTAGTACATAATATACATAACATACGTTTATTTTGTTTGTTGTTTGTGTTATTTTATATTTGCCGAAGCACTTAAATAGTCGGAGTCAAGAGTTGGTATCATCCTTAATACGCTATTTTGAGGCAGAACGGGATAATAATGGACCTTTTTAACAGCTGTTAGAGAGGTAAATAGGATTATTATTAATTACACAGCCACACAAATTATTTTTTTTGTTTTGATCTGGGGGTCTGACCATATATATTTTATGTTTTTGGGGTCGCTGAATCCGAATCCAAGGTCTATTTAACCCCATCACATCAGGATTTTGACATAACCTCAACAAATCTATAATTTAAGCCATTAAACGCATATAACCCTAAACATTAAGTTGTTGTCTAAAAACCCAAGCTCCTAAACCCTATAAGCCTAAAACTCACTTAACTCCATAACCCCATGACCCACTTAACCCCATCATCTATTTAAACATATAATCCTTAGGATGAAATTGTGATCTGAAAACCCAAGCTATTAAACCCAATAACCATTTTAACCCCATCCCATAAACCACTTAAACCCATAACCTTGTAACCCATTTAACCCCATCAACATCAATTCCAACAGTTCCGTATCTCAGACATTTAGCTTTGAAGAGACTAAAGTTATGCGGTTATTAAAATAACGTACATATTAAGTTAAATATCTGACAAACGTGGTTGATGTACATTGAGTTATGAGGTTAAATGGGTTATGGGGTTATGGAGTTATGTGAGTTATAAAGTTGTGATATTTAAGAGCTTGGATTTTTATATGAAAACCACATTCTCAGGGTTATATATAGTAATAGCTTATATGATGGGTTTTTTAAGGTTATGGCAAAATCCTGATGTGATGGGATTAAATAGACCTCGGATTCGGATTCAGCGACCCCAAAAATATATAGAAAATATGGTCAGGCCCCCAGATCAAAACACAAAATTTTATTTGTGTTTTGATCTGGGGGTCTGACCATATATCTTTTATGTTTTTGGGGTCGCTGAATCCGAATCCAAGGTCTATTTAACCCCATCACATCAGGATTTTGACATAACCTCAAAAAATCTATAATTTAAGCTATTAAACGCATATAACCCTAAACATTAAGTTGTTGTCTAAAAACCCAAGCTCCTAAACCCTATAAGCCTAAAACTCACTTAACCCCATAACCCCATGACCCACTTAACCCCATCATCTATTTAAACATATAATCCTTAGGATGAAATTGTGATCTGAAAACCCAAGCTTTAAAAGCTGTTGGAATTGATGTTGATGGGGTTAAATGGGTTACAAGGTTATGGGATTAAGTGGTTTATGGGATGGGGTTAAAATGGTTATTGGGTTTAATACCCAATAACCATTTTAACCCCATCCCATAAACCACTTAATCCCATAACCTTGTAACCCATTTAACCCCATCAACATCAATTCCAACAGTTACGTATGTCAGACATTTAGCTTTAAAGAGACTAAAGTTATGCGGTTATTAAAATAACGTACATATTAAGTTAAATATCTGACAAACGTGGTTGATGTACATTGAGTTATGAGGTTAAATGGGTTATGGGGTTATGGAGTTATGTGAGTTATAAAGTTGTGATATTTAAGAGCTTGGATTTTTATATTAAAACCACATTCTCAGGGTTATATATAGTAATAGCTTATATGATGGGTTTTTTAAGGTTATGGCAAAATCCTGATGTGATGGGGTTAAATAGACCTCGGATTCGGATTCAGCGACCCCAAAAATATATAGAAAATATGGTCAGGCCCCCAGATCAGAACACAATTTTTTTTTTGTGTGGCTGTGTTATATATGGGGCAAAATTTACCAAGTGTACCAGGTGAAAAAATTTTTGTCACCGATTTTGTTTAAACTTTACTTATTTGTTGTTCTTATAACGAAGAATCATAGCATACATTTTTTTTGCTCTAGGATTGTTCATTCAAGAGTTATGGATTATTGAAATTTATCGATTTTTTACTTTTTGGTGAAATCGCTTTTTATTTAAAAATTCATAACTTCTGTTCATCTCTTTATTAAATATTTCAATTTAACCTCCTTAAATGATTTTTTCCGTACTTTTCAATGGGCTATACCATTTTTGCAAAAAAATAAAAATTGCAATTTTTTTTTGAAATTTTGCAAAATTTTGCATTTTTTAAAACAATGTGTATTTTTAAATTTTTTTTTAAAATAGCATAAAATCCAAGTTTATTATGTTACCTTTGAATAAAAAAAAATTTAGGGTGGGCCCGACATGTCGAAGGGAAGTTTTTCATATTTGAATGCCGCACGGTCTAGCCATCGAATAGCTACTACACTGCCGTATGCGTTTATACCTAGTGGATGCGAGTAAACGAATACAAAATGATAATTTAAAATGTAAAATTATGTTTGAGTAGTCAATGATGTATTTTAAATATTTACACTGCCGCACGATATAGTTTTTTAACTGTATTTTTTTGCACAAATTGTTTAAGCATGGGTCTACATAGATTTCGCAAGGAGGATCGATGATATTAAATAAAAAATTTATTGTTATAACCGTAACGGCTTGCCTATAAGCTGAATACAGTTTATATACAAAAGTGCTCTTTTAGTTCCACCCTTACTTCGTAAGATGTCCCATAAGCCAACTGAATGGCTTGTGCGGGTTAGGGGTAGGAACGGACCGCGGGCTTAAAGTCCCCTCCGAAGGACTAATACACAATAAAAAAAACTGTATCGTGCGGCAGTGTAAATATTTAAAATACATCATTGACTACTCAAACATAATTTTACATTTTAAATTATCATTTTGTATTCGTTTACTCGCATCTACTAGGTATAAACGCATACGGCAGTGTAGTAGCTATTCGATGGCTAGACCGTGCGGCATTCAAATATGAAAAACTTCCCTTCTACATGTCGGGCCCACTCTATTTTTTTTTTTATTCAAAGGTAACATAATAAACTTGGATTTTATGCTATTTTAAAAAAAATTAAAAAATACACATTGTTTCAAAAAATGCAAAATTTTGCAAAATTTCAAAAAAAAATTGCAATTTTTATTTTTTTGCAAAAACGGTATAGCCCATTGAAAAGTACGGAAAAAATCATTTAAGGTGGTTAAATTGAAATATTTAATAAAGAGATGAACAGAAGTTATGAATTTTTAAATAAAAAGCGATTTCACCAAAAAGTAATAAATCGATAAATTTCAATAATCCATAATTCTTGAATGAACAATCCTAGAGCAAAAAAAATGTATGCTATGATTCTTCGTTATAAGAACAACAAATAGGTAAAGTTTAAACAAAATCGGTGACAAAATTTTTTTCACCTGGTACACTTGGCAAATTTTGCCCCATATAAGAATATTTAACAGAATATATGTTGGATTCTTAGAAGATTCTTCTAAGGTTGGATTAGGTTTATGTCTAGCTTTCCTTGAGGTCTTAACATTAGAACGACCTACCAGATTTATAGCTGAAAATTTCTTTAAAAATGGTTAAAAACATACTTTTGGCGGTTCATCGTATAGGTTATAAAAACTCTGACTTTTGACATTTTGGTCATAGATTAGATAAAGTATTCTAAGTATTCTAAGGTCCCAAATCTAGGGACCATATGGTATTTTTCATGTAAACCCCATCTATCGCCCTGTAGTTGCACTACCACTTTCACTTGATTCAATGATTTTAGCATCACATTGAAAACCGTAATTTGGCTTTGGTGGTGCGTAAATGAGTAAAATCATATAAAAAAGAAGTCATGAAAACATGTACGATAAAGGGCGTTTTAAAGGTGGGAGTAGAAAAAAGAAATTAAATTTTTATGTGGACAAACGTGAATGTTGTCCAATCGTTATTTCCCCCTTATTTTTTAAAATTTCAAAAAATCTGCTTAGCTGAAAATACTGTGTGAATTAATATTTGTAAAACAAAAAACGTTACTTTTTAACTCCAAAAATGTCCATAAGGCGATGTACTTTTTTTGCCATTGAGGCATTTGGCATAAATTCATCGAAATGAAGTTTTGCCCTTAAAAGTTTTTTTACTTTAGAATCTGATATTATTTTTGGCATATGTCTCTTTTTATATCGATATTATACATATAATACGTATAATAATTAACAAGTAAATTATCAATAATAAATATTACTGTCAATTTGACAGTATCAGAGTATTTAATTATAAGGTCTTCAGCAGAAGTAGCATTTTTTAAATACTTAAAATACTAAATCAAACTGGCAAAAAATCCAATTTTTAAAACACTTTAAAAACGCATTTTGATGCCTCTTTATTGTTCGTGACAGATTATTACCTAAGATTTTAAACTGCGAAGTAGAATTTACTGCGTATGCGTTGCGTTATAACAAATACCTACATGAAAAGATTGTCAAAAATACTCTTACTTTCGGAATCTTGTCTTTTTCGTGTAAATGTTGCGTAAATATAATAGTGAAAATTAGTGTCAAAAATTTATAGTAGGGATAAAGTTGAGTACAAATACAACTTTTAAATGTTTTTTTGGATTTTTTGCCAAAAATATAGCGTTTTTTAACCCACAAATTCTCAAGTTTTGTAATTATAAATAATAAATGGAATATAAGTAAAAATTTATAATTACTTGCCCAGAACCACATAGTGCATTCGAAAATATGAACCTCCAGCTCCGACTTTATAAAGAGAGTTATGCAAAAATGAAAAATGGCCGACAAGTATTTTTTAAATTTGACAATAATTATTGCATTTAAGAATGGCAATACAATTTTCTTTACTCCTATTACATAATATTATTTTTTTAATATACTTTGTATGGTAATGACAATAGAAAAAAACTTTTTTATTAGGTATGACGAAAAAAAACATGTTTTTTTAAAACTCTTGCTTGTTTCAAAAATAAGATTCCTACACAAACATTTTGAATTAAATGTACACGGTGCTCAGAAACTAAAAAAACCCAAAAAACTACAAGTGCCTTTTAGGGAAAAATTAATTCTTTTTGAAAATATTTGATGGTTAAAAATTAAGACTTTCATAAGAAGATAAATTATATATACAGGGTGCTTAGAAATTAAAAAAAATATATATATCAAAATAAGAGAGAAATGTGGTAAGATATTAGTAAAGAAATCGCATAAAATCATTCTTCATAAAAACTTCTGCTTGTTTTTAAAAATGAGATTCCTAACAAACATTTTTAATTAAATGTCCAGGGTGCTCAGAAAATAAAAAAAACAGCAAAGTGCTTTAAGAGGGTAGTACAATAATTATTGTTCTATAGTAATCTCATTTTTAAAACAAGCAAGAGTATTTAAGGCATATTAAAAATAATAAGTTTTCCTATTGTCAACCATCACGATATTGGCTAAAGGGTTGTTAAAAAGGAATATGGTGAAATGTAAAATGTTGATATAATAATATATTTTTGATACTTTGAAGGTAATGGTTTTTCGGTTATTAATGATAAAAAATTATGCTTGCGCCATGTTGCAATCGCCGCCTGGTACGAACTATAAACATTTATTTATTTAATAAATAAATTATTAAATATAAAACATAAAAAAAACAAAAATACACGTCTTGGGAAAAATATTTAAAGAATAATTTTTGCCGCGTAAATTTACCTCTCAGACCACTGTGTGGCATAAGCTACCAACTTAATAAAAAACACGAGTACAAATAATATAAAATTAACTGTAAGTTAAATGAAAATGTGACAATATAGATTACTCACCAATGGTCTCCATTCATAATAAAACAGTCCGTGGGATCGGTATTCCTGGATAAAGATATCCACCTAATATTATAACATTTAAGACTATTTTGCTTATAACCATTAATATACAATCTGGCACTGTGCATCCACTCCAAACACTTACTTCCATCATTTTTAACATCCTCTGGAAGACAGGGTAAACTTTTTTCGTAATGCACGGTGGTTCCCAACTTGACTTGTACGATTTCCATCCCGTCGTCGTCATAAATTCGCATCACTTTTTTCATGTTGTTCAGTTTGATTTTTTCGAAGTAAGCCTTGTGCAGGATTTTTTGGTGGTAAAGGAAGTAGGCGCAGATTATTAGAACCACTATTGTAATGAATAGTATGCATACGAATATTCGGGTTTTATAGTCAGGAGATTTCTTCTTCCATGCTTCTGGTACAATCTAAAAAAGACTTATTCAAAATATGTAAACTTAAGAATATACGAGATTATTTTAATATTTGCAAATAAAAAACTGTACAGGGAGGTCCACGTATAGGTATCCTTATCTCAAAAATTACTGAGGTCACAAAATTTGATTCCAGTTGAATTCCTATTGGTAATTTCCAATGAAGTCAGCGGCTTGAATTGGAAAATACCAACCCATGCCTATGCTTGTCTCTATTGGCTAAATCCAATAGAAATGCACATGGAATGAATTTGTAATTCATAGCGCCAAACCCATTGCAACCAATTAAAACCAATTAATTTTTTAAAATTTGGATTAGAAAATACCTACCAGTTTATTTTTCATTCAAAAATAATTTTAGATTCCAGAAGTATAACCGGGTAAAAACCAGAATTAATTTTTCACAGAAGAGACAAAAAATTTATTGTTAAGTACTGAGTAATTATATTTCTTTATTATTTGTTTGTGAAATATGTATGTATTGATACATATAACTTACTATCACAAAAAAAGTAATACAAAATAAATAAAATTACTCGGTTATAAAAAAATTTTTGTCTTTCTTGCAAAGGATGTTTGTAGGCATGGTTGAAGTCGATATTGTGTATGTCAAATTTTTTTATTTTGGCCGCTGCACAGTGTTTCAATTCTGGAAAATATCGGCAAAACCTCAAAATTTACATTTTTTTTTTCAGGTAAATTTTGAGTTAGATGGGTAGTTAATACCTGTCCCCATTCTGTATTGAAAAAAAATTATATAAAATACGTATATTTTGTCTTGTACATCAGTTTAAACTTGACGCTTTCAGTTGAAGGTACTTTACACGCGATCGCTGCGAAAAATTGTTTATTGTTTAAAAGTGAATAACTTGTGTTTGGTGTGTCCGATTGTTATGCGGTTTGATGAAGGGTGATCTTCAAGGTAAGTATCTAAAATTCAGATATGTATTTGTTTTTCGTAGATTTTGCTTGTACAACGGGTTATTGTAACCGACAAGATCGGTCTGTTAAAATCGCAAACTTTGAATCGAGCTTTTAGAACAATGGAGTTACAAAAATTGTAATGAATTGTAAGGCATCAATTCAAGATCCGTTGAATAGCTTAGAGTTTTGTCTATCAATCCATCAATAAATTAGCTGCCCCAACTTGCCCCCGGTTCTTTAAAACTACATGTTCTTGGGCGCTCATGCACGGTTGTGGTAAAAAACCTCGTGATTTAAAGCCTATGTCGAGCGCGTATCTATGTTTTTGCTTTACAAAATATAAGATTTTTTTTATTTCTGGGTTGCGTTCATGACGTTTACTCGATTCACTCGGATTTAACTCAAAACGTTTATTACGGTGTCTAGAGTTTCACTTGCGTTAATCGTTCGTGACTACTAAGATATTTAACACCGATTTTACATATTTAACCCACCTCTTGTAGGTGCATTAAAACAACTTCGCATGCGCATTGTAGTGTGTTAATGTCAAATTTGAATTGTGGTTATTTGTGTTTTAGCGAATTAAGAAATCGTTGCTAAAATATTAAGTAAAAGAAATAATACAAATTAAAAATACTTAGTATAAAATCTGTTATATTTAAATTTTATAAATAAATTTTGAAAGTTTCTCGGGAGAAAACGATGGAAGATGTTTTCCATTGGCTTATGGCATCTTCCGATCCGTATATTTCTGGCTTCAGAAAATTTGCTCCGAAAAAGAGCGAAGCAATAAAACTTTTGCTATCTTCTGATGGTTTCCCATGCTCCCATGATACAACGAGCTAATCCAGTGACGGAGATTGTTTAATATATATGTAGGTATTAAATAATATCATATAAATGTAATTATAATAAACTAAATTAAGCTTATTTATAAAAAGATGTTTTATTACATTTTAAAAAGAACCTCTTACGGGTTTTTAATTAATTTCGACAATATTTAATTAAAATGTCTGCCATTTGAGGTCCACCATTTTGAGTTTTGGAATTTTGATTTCAGATTCATTATCAGAGACCACAAAAACCCCTGTATGCTGATTTTCAATTAATTCCGTTAATTTTTTTACAAATATGTCAGCCATTTTGGATCTACCATTTTGAATTTTGGAATTCTGATTCCAGATTCGTTATCAGCGACCCCAAAAACCCTGTGTGGTGATTTTCAATTTATTTCGTCAATTTTTTGACAAATATGTCCGCCATTTTGGATCTACCATTTTGAATTTTGGAATTCTGATTCCAGATTCGTTATTAGCGACCCTAAAAACTTCTAAATACGGATTTTTAGGAGAATCCGACTACTCCTTGATATTTTGCCGAAAATTTCGAGAATTAAAACACTGTGCGCTGTGACAACTATTCTTACGCCATCGTCCCTAAACCTTACACATATAAACATTTTTTTAATATATAAGTACACTACTTACACTAGGCACTTAACACAGAAATCGACTAATAAAAAAAAGCGCTAATAAATGGCGTTCAAAGACTTGTTTTTTCTCTATGATGGCGTCTCAACCTCGTTGATTTTGCGCAGCTACACGAGAGCCCTCTTGCGATATTTGTATTGTATTGCGAATCTTACACTGGGAATGCCCAATTGAATTCAATTGGAAATTACATTTAGGTAGCTTTATCCAATCGAAACCAATAAAAGCCATTAGAATCCCAATTGCACTTTTCCATCATGGAAAATACCAGTAAAAACCAATTTCTGTTTTATATCGCTCCCAATTAAATCCATTAAGTCCAATTCAGACCCATTGATACCAACCAATACTTCAATTGGTTTCTACAGGAATTAATCGGTCATTTACAACAGGGAGGTTGAATTTTCATGATCATGATCTTTGTATTTAAAAAAGTCTCCATATACATATTTATAGGAGGGTAATTTTGGTATGGTTTGATTTGGAGATGGTAATTCCCGTAGCTTCAGCAAAGTTTGGCATTGGCATTTTAATCATTTAAACTTTAAATGATTAAAATGCAAATGCCAGACTTTGCTGCAGCTACGGGAATTAACATCTTCAAATCAACGGTAAATTTTAAAGGAAGAATGGAAGTAACCTGGGTAAGATAGGGGTAGGTATGTAGGTAGGTAGGTATAACTTATGCAAAAAACTTCGAAATTTGGAAAAACACAAGCAAACTGAAAAAATTAAGGATATCCCTCATAATGCGTTTTGAATGTTTTTCAAGAACTAATTTTCATCATTTGAACCTACATACCGAGCAAAAAATTTCCCTGCAAGGCAAAATTGTTTGCTCAATTTTAAAAGGTGTCGGTGAGCATTCTAAGTTTTCCATTGAAATAACACGTAAAAAAATCTTTTTTCATTAAAAAGACTATAACTTTTGAACCGTTTGAGATAAAATTTTTTACGTCGCGGATTCTTGTAGAGCATAAAATTTCCCAAAAAATCTATACCAGGATTATTTTTTTAATTCAAAAATTCGTATGTTTGAAAGCTTTGAAAAGTGTAAAAAATCACTACTGTTATTTCAATGGAAAACTTATGCTCACCGACTCCTTTTAAAATTGAGCAAAAAATTTTGCCTTGCAGGGAAATTTTTTGCTCGGTATGTAGGTTCATTTTAACCCATAAATCCGATAGGTTAGTTTTTTTGGCTCACCCTAGTACTAAAGATTCAAAACACAGTAAAAAAAAACAGTAAAAACCAGCAATCGTATTTTATTGAGACATTTAACAGCCGGGAATTGTTTTCGAATCTTGATTCTTGGTGATTTTGGTTTTATCTTAAACTTAAATTTGACAACTGAATCACAATCAGGAGGTCAAAATTATGAAGAAAACATGTCACGAACGTAAATATCGGTTTGGGTTTAGTTTTCGCAAATTTTTACCAAAATGTTATTTTGAAAAAGTGGTCTTTGCTTAGGCCCTCTGAAAATAATAGAAGTTTGTTGCTTGTCGCTTGTTCAGAATTATTTAAGGAACAATCTTTCACAATCTTATCTTTTTGTTCCTAAAAAGACTAAGTGTATTGCCTCTTTTGGAAAAAAAATTTTCGTTGCTAAGATTCCAATTTGAAAAATTTGAAACATTTTCAAGGTAAGACATAATACTTTATTATTTCAAAGTAAAAACGAGAAAAAAATATTTTTTTTTACAAAAGGGGCTTGGATGAAGTTATTGAAATTTTTCACCGTTTAACATATCACCCTGTAGGAAATTTACTTAAAGAACCATGAGCTTCATATCTATAGCATGAATTGCCAGAGTATGAGGCTAGCAAACAGACCAGACCAAAATAAAATTGTTCAAGAAACAAAAAAGTTATGTCGTTTTGAAAAAGAACGAACTTTTTGGTCGCGACACATTGAATGGTGCGCAGTTTATAATTACATGATTTTGAATGTTGTTTATAAAAATCTTTTTATATCGCACAATATTATTGAATTTCATTTCACACTGTATATATTTTAATTACCTATTAAGTAAGTTCATACTATATTTTTTCAAAATATTGTACAGGGTAATTTTTATGCCCCAGAAAAAATGTCGGTTTTGATCAGCGTTAATTAAAAAGACCTAAAAATAAAAGCTTACCTGTATTTTTTCCCGCAATAAGCTAGCAAACGAATTATTCGACGCAACCGAGTTGACTGGCGAGTTGCTTCCAGATTCTTCGTCTCTTGGCGGTCTAAGCATTCTCGGACTAGTGACTGATTTTCTTCTAGCATTACGTAGAGGAGTTCTGGAATGTTGAACAAAAAACATCACTAAGTAAGATTTTCAGCGAGATGCCAAATGTATCTGCATGGTAAATGCGACTTTTAAAATTATGTCAATGCTAACTGATAAAATATGAAGGACAAATAATAAATAATCTTAATTTTTGTTTTCCAATTTTTAATGAAAATATTGTATAAATATTATTTAATGTTTAATTACCCAGAAAATGATTAAAACCTAAACTGTAAAGGAAATATTTAATACTATAATATGTATCAAGTTTGATACACGCAATCTTAAACACAAATTTAATTTAGTCACGAGTTTGCGAATTAAATGAGTGTCTAGAAAAAATTATAAACTAGTTGCATGCTATACTTTTTCTACGACAAACACTTACTAGGTATTGTCTAAAAATGATTTAAATTAAATATTTGTATAGAGCGATATCTATACAACAATAGAGTAACCAACCTGGGAATCTGTATTACCGGCGCGCTGTGAAATGTCAAATTTTTATGTGTATATCGAAATTTATCCCTTGAAAATGGACCGTTTAATCCGATATATCGAAATTCGCTAAAACACACATGATCATGTGTGTTGTAGCGAATTTCTCTAATCAAATAATTATTGTTTTTTAATGTTAATTTTATAATACACTCACAGGTCAGTCTCGTCCCAGCCGTCGAGTGAGTAAGTCGATGTAGCAGAGTCGGAGAGTAAACGTAAAACGATAAAACCATAACCAACAAATAAACCCTCATAGTGCAAACAACTATAGTGTAAAAAATACAGTGAGTACAGACTACTCTACGGTCAATAATTAGTTAAGGGCCAAGTGAAAAGGAAGAGAGAAGTGACAAGTGCAAACGAACATAGTGAAACGGTCAAAAGAGTGTTAAGTGACAAGAATGAGTTAAGTGACAAGTGTCAGTGCCTGAGCGGTCGCACCATCTGTCAACAGGACGATTTCCACTGGCCAAACAAAAGAGGCCATACAAGGGAGGAACAGGCCACCTGCAAATATTTGCTAAGTATCCTCAAATCATCCGCATGACCTAACACATAAGTTGCAAATTAAACTAAACAAGGCACATTGCCTAATCCCTACTAAAAAAAAAATAATCATCGGCAACAAATAAAATAAAAAGTCAATTTTCCAAGAAAAAAACCAAACAGCCGATCGCGGACACACACCAAAGTTGAACAGGGCAATAAAGCTGTCAACATAACAATTCAAGTAAAACAAACCGAGACCAAATAAATTTGACACTTAAGACATAAACAACAAAACAAATAAAACATAAACAAAGTAAAAAAAAGCACTCTAATCAAACTGGAATTTGTAAACACACTTGACTTTATAGTAAAAGTAAAAAAATACCCCCCACTGGGAACTGCCTTATCGCAGCGATTGCACATCAGCTGTTCAACCTAAACGACGTAGACAATGCAACAACATACTACAAGCCACCCTTAAACTAGATCTTAAAGACAAAAAGTCGGGAGACCATGCTTCACATTTCATGACACGTTAGCACAAAACATGCACTTCTCACAAATTAACAAAAACAGTTGGGAGCAACTAAGCAACAATAAAAACAAAATAAAAAAAAACAAACGACACACTTTACCAAGTTCAGGAACTATCCGACACGGATAATGACAATAATGAACAAGACGAAGACCTCGACTAGGAAACTACACCCTGCAGAGTAATAACAACTCCCCAACTCCAAATAGTAATCCCAAATGTTTGGAGTAATATTAATCGACTGGTCTAGGGGGATTCCGCGTCGTACTTAGTTTTAAGTCGGCGTAATTGTCCCCCAAAAACCAACACCCTCCCGTCCCTTCTCCATACCCCACTGAGCGTATAGCATAGGCTCGGCGAACCCGGGAATGGCTATTATAACTATTCGCCTCTCGCTCTCGAGCTCCAAATAGGGGACAGTACGGAACGCAATGGACATTCGCACCCAGCAAACACGGGTGAAGCCGTGAAGTTGCTGGGGAAGAACAAAAATCGGCGTAAGTAAACATAGGCCTGTACGGGGTTCGAGAGTCAAGAGGAAATGGGGCTGGTTATACGTCTCTTATACTCATACTCATACTCAATTTTATAATACACTCACAGGCAAAATAATCAATCCACAAAAATTTTCGATGAATTTCAAACGCAAATAACTTTTTTATTTGATTTCGGATTTAAACAAATAATAAAGAATATTGTTGATACATTAATGGAGAATCGCTCATATTTTAAAAATTACTAAAAAATACACGTACGTTTATAATATACAGGTTTAAACAAAAAGATGTTTTTTACCATAAGTTTAAGACACTCTTTAGAGTGGCAAAACCGTATATTGTTCTAAATTAAGTTTTAATTATTAAGTCACATCTATTTTTAACAGTTTTGTTTTTGGTTCACCTTGATATATTTAATTATTCCATTTTTTAAAGTAAAAATTTAAACATTAATTTGCAAAAAACAATTTGATAGCTTTTGAAAGCCTGTATGACATGTCCAAGTATAAGATGATTCAACAAAACTCTCACTGTCATTCTCCATAGGCTATGGATGGACCATAGCAACCTTAGTTCTTCATACAGAAAAATATTAAAAATTGCAATGTTTTTTTAAAAAATTTAGAACAATATACGGTAAAAAACACAAAAATTGCTAAATTTTCAGAAAAATTGACTTTTGGGTATTTCCATTGTAACGGGTGCGACACTAAAACTGCGTTTTTTCATGACAAAAAATTGTTTGTTCATATATATCAAGATACTTTAATATAAAGAAATAGTATAAAAAATAATGTATTTAACTCAAACAAAATGTCAATAAAAACTTGTGTAGAGAACCTTTTATAGCGTCATGAATAGCGTAACTGGCGCGACCTTAGAAAATCGGCTAATGCGACCAAGTTGGCTTCTAAAGTTGATACTGTAAAATTGTGGATGAAAGCATATAGGTAGTAATAATTGTTTGTGTAAAACTTGAATAGTAACCTTAAACAAGCACGTATTTTAAATGCAAAATATTGTATACTTTATTTTCTCAAAATGTAACGGGTGCGACATTTGAACATTTTATCGAGTATTGAAACTCTTCCGTGTTTATTCTTAATGTTAGCTTCTTAGCATCACAATGTACGAATATTTTAAGGTTATAAATTACGTCGCAATAAAACTTTTTGACTTCAGATATAAGTAGTTGTTATTTTGATAAATAACAAATCTGATTTTTTGTCAAGGTGGGGTAAACTCAACGATTTAACACTAAACTATAAAAAAAACATGAATATTTTTTTTCATATTTTTACTGTTTTACTGTGGCATTTGTGTGTATTAAAATAAATCTTAGATCTTTTATAATTATTTGAATTATTTTTACATGAATTCACAACGCAATAATGTATTTTACGCTTGCATTTTATCACCACTTTCCATTTTAACGCTAAGGCAAAGACTAAACAGAAATAAGAAACTATAAACACGCATAGATCTAATTAATAAGCTTTGTTTACTAAAATATTCCACGCCCCGCCCAGTCTTTTACAACGGCTGATAAGCGAGCCGCACAGATCTCGGGACTGACTCTGCTGTCCTCCATATACTGTGGTACAAGCCCAACTTTGTGGGCCTCAATTTCTACAAAAATTCGCGTATTATCCCCGCCTTGCGGGGGTGCCGGCGGCACCGTGCAGCGGTGACGAGCATGATGTTGTATTGGCGATGTGTGACGTATATGAAGCGCAAATTTTTAAGATAACTATTTCCCTATTATGCGGTCTGGCAATGATTTAAGCGTTTAGAATTAAAGTTGGAAGGGGTGCGCGCTAAATTTAAAGGAAATATTTTAAACTTTGATGGTTATTCGATGTTTTGATACTTTTAATGAATGGAAATTAGTTTTATATTTAAATAAGTAATGTATCGAACATTATAATTATGGAGTAAATTTTTAAGTGTTATATTTTTAAGTTTACTATCGAACTGTAAAAAATATAAGGCATTCCATTTAAAAAAATCTGAACCGCCTGTATGGTTGGGATAAAAAGATCAGATCTCATATTAAAAAAAACCCTTAAAAAATTATTCAAGAAAAGTTTTTCACCGACAATAATATTCTGAGAATAGGGAAAGCAACTTTAGGAGGTACAATGTTAATTAAATGAATTTAAAAAAAGATATTCTTTTTAAAATTTTACTTGCATTTGCGGGTTAACCATTATTAACGAAAAATACAGAATCAACAATATATATATACAATAACAAAATTAAACTAAATACTTGCATGCAAAACCTATAATAATTAAATCAAGCGCGATCAAAACAAGATTTTTTTACCACGGCACAACAATGCTGCATTTTATAATAAACCATATAATAATAGTAATAATAGTAATTATTAAAACTCACCGCTGCTAAAAATTATACTAGCATTTCACTATAGAATGATTTTGCGAACTGAACTGAACTAAACTAAACTAAGAATGGACATATTATATCCGACATATGCTATTTAGTTCTTGACATGGAAGATTTATTTGGTTTATTTACTCTTATCAAAGTGGCAAACTCCGAGGGAACAATTGATAATTATTATATTAAACTTAATGGCAACAATCTTATTTATTATAAACGCCAATAACGTTATATTTATACAAAGTGTTCGAAACATCCTCTACAGTGACCTTTTAAGTACAAATTGACAAGTTGTGGTTTTATTGGGCTTTAGTCACGGGCTTTAAGTTAGTTGTCAGTTGTCAAATGACATACAATCATAGGTCTGTGCATACAATCGTTAAAATAAAATTTCTTTCTTGTAAAATAATACCAAAGGTGAAAATTATTTTATTATCTCAATACGAAAATACAAAAGTATTAAAAAGTTTCTTGACGCCAAATTTGAAAAGATTATATGAACGTTTGTACTGACCTTTTGATTTCGCCGTCGTAGTGCAGTTAACTTTTGCGTACAGTGTCCATAAAACATTCTCTTCTCTT